AAACCCCCGGCTCGAGCGTCAAATTCGTCCTGGTCACAGAATCCGTCGCGGAGCGGAACGAGAAACCAATATATCTTGCGCGCGGTCAGGGCGGACGCTTCCATTCCATGATTGCCGCTGAGGAAAGTAAGTGGGAGGAGAAGGTCCGTCGAGAGAAAGCGGAGAAGAGTAAAGATAAGAAAGCGAGGACACGGCCGGCGGATGAACTACCCCCGATTTCGAGTTTCAGGGAATATCGCACGCAGACGGCTGGGTTTTAGTTGTCGTTCGCTTGGATTTGATGTTGATGATGATGATGTACATATGGACGGAATGGAGAGCATGGGACTTAGGCAGGCAGGCAGACAGCAGTTAATCCTGTTGTCATTAACCTCGCTGAGCGATTACTAGTTGGATGAGTTATTCATATAAGCTGGCTGTTTTGGGCGTTGTTATATCGGTGTTGATACCTTTCATTGCTTACTATTGAACTTATTGCTACTGCTGCCACTAGTATATATCCGCCTTGCAAGTATTCACATGGTTTATTCTATGTTGTTGATATTTCTGTATAAATACGTGGCTCAAACACCGGGTTTCATTATCAGGACAGTCTTTCCGTTTTGTCATTTACATATGAAACGGTTACTACACAAACTATCAATCGACGAGGGGCACACCATCTCCCTCAGACATAACAAATTCACGCCCACTGGGTATAGGAAACATAAGACACAGAAAAGAAAAAAAAAAGAATAGGAAACTGAACTACGTGATAAGGGAATCTTAGAACAGAAATCAGTCCACCCCGGCTCGTAACACACAATCTTTCTTTTTGCGATTCTTATCACGTAAGACTCATTTGTATGGATCCGGATACGAAGATACTCCGCCAGGTATCCGGCCATAGTAACTAGCTCCATCCATATCCCTGGTAACCGACATGGATGATGAAGTTCGAGATTTCGGTGTCCGCGGCGTATAGGAATCCGATGAGGCTCGTGTTTCAGACGGTGTACCTGGTCTAGAAGAAATAAGACCGGCAGAAGACGCTGCTGAAGACGAGGAAGGAGCAGCAAAGACTTTTGACCAGTAGTATCTATGATTAATTTTGAATGTTTTCAAGAAATCCTTCGCGCCCCATTTGACATCGATGTGTTGCCATTTACTCCATCGGTCCAGGGTTTTCGTTTGCGTGAGGACGACCAATCGTCGGTATCGGTGGCGATGAACCAGGCCCCAGCCGGCAAAGAATTCAACAAGGTGGTCTGCGTTGCGCTGGTCTTGGGTTAGGCCTTTGGGGATGTCTGGATTGTCTGCTTCGGTGCGGGTGCCGTAATTAGGTAGGTTGGGAGGGGATATGGCGTTGCTTTCGAGGTAGTCATCATGGGCTCCGGATGATAGCTCGCCAAGGGGGGTGTCGTATGCGGGAACGCCGCAACATTCTAGGACTAACCGGTACATGGTAGGCCATCTAGAGACAGAGTTTTTGGTTAGAGAAATTAGATTGTAGGTTGGCTTGGAATGAAATAACGTACACTCCCTGTATTGACTCGTCTGTGGGTTCTGGTTGTTGCATGAGCCAGTCCAGAACAGCAGGCCGAAACATGATTTTCCAGTATCCCGGATACTTCTTCTTGATGAAGTCAGCGAACCACGCTAGGATTACTACGGTTGCTTTTGGATCCTGAAGCATTATATCTTCTGTCATCAAGATAGCCCCGCCATGTGGGAAAATGCGCTGGAAGTGGGACCGGTGACCGGCATATTCGAGAGGTTTGGCCAGAGAGACGCTCCAGAAGTTGATTGGCTTGCTGATGACGTTTTGGAAGAAAGGCAACTCGTTGAAGTTGACAAAGCTCTCGTGAACCTGCTTGATTGTTGGTCTTTTAGTGCATCTTGAGCTCAGTTAAAAGCAAAACATACCAAAACCACCCCGACTTGGACAGCTCGCGCAAATTTCTCCCAGTCGTCTTTCTGCTGCCAGGTATATATAACAGGGTTATGTGTATTTAAGAAGGCCTGGAGGACTAGAAGCTCATTGTGAAGTGCCTCGGACTCGAACAGGAGAAAAAACGCTTCTGCTCTCTGCACCTTGCCTGCGGCGTTCACTGTCACTAGAGTTTCATAAGATACTCCAAACTCCTTTTTGAAAACACTTTCGAGATCGGCTGTAGGTGGGGCGGTTATTGAGCCCTGCTCGCCTGGCGCTGAAGCAGAACTATGCTGTTTATGGATCTCCATGAGTTCGTCTTTTTCATCATCGATTTCCATGGGTTCGTCTTGCACTTGGTCGGCAGACTCATTTGTTTCGGCCGAAGCTGGCTCCAGAGGTTTCTGTGAAGAGTTTGGCTTCGCAGGACTAGACATTTCCTCAGACTGTAGCTCGAATGGCTCGTGTGAATTGTCTGGCTTCACGGGTATCCCAATCTTCTTCAATTGCTTTTCTGCTGAAGCAACCCCCAGTTGCTTTGGTGATGATTCCAACTTCGTCTCACTAGCTACCTCTTTGAGTTGCCTTTCTGTTGATCTCTTTCCCTGCTCAGACGATATTGACATTGGGGCGTCGTCGACGTGTTTTATACCGTCACATCCACTTCCAGGTATTTGATAATACGGGATATCCCTCACGACAGCGTCTTGGTGGCGAGGATCTGTCCACCGGTCGTCGGCTCTTGCTCTAGAGGGCAGTCGCTCAATAAACTCAAGAGAGTCCAAGGGATCTCTCACAACAAGGTTAAGAAAGGTATCCGGCTGGTTCCTGGAGTAGCCGTCGCTGAGTGACTCGAGCTTCAGTGAATTAGACGGGTAGGCCAGTAACACGTTGTGTGGCGTACCCTGGATGCCTGGAAAAATCGCGAGAAGGTCGCCTTGCTCAAGCTCCTGTGCCATGCTATATATTTTGGACTCCGTATCATTAAAACCCTGAATCCAGCCCCTACAATATGTGCGATGTCGCGACCGCTATGGTTGTTAGGTTCAGCAAACAAGACTAGTTTTATATCGCCAAATCACTTACTGAGTTATAACAGAGTACCTCATAATCCTCCAGCGTGCAAAGATGTTGGAACCAAACCTCAATATATAAACCCGCCTTACTTGCAATAAGCCTTTTAGCAGACATGGGGCTAAGACCGCATAGTCTAGCTGGGCCAATGGATCTTTTGTCTGGTCCATAATACATATACACTAACACCTCACCGGGATTGCAAAAGCGGCCGGACACAAATTTGGCATAGGGACCAGGCACCCTCCGAGGTAGCTTGGGAACATCTTGGACCGGTTTATCTGGACGGTCGTGCTTGATCCGGTCTTGATTTGACGGATCAGTGAGCGGGTCGGGTAAGTGGGTAAGTCCATCTGGGAGACGAGTTTCCGTGTGAGAAACAGACTGCTCATCCACGAATTGGACTATTTCTCGTGTTTGGTCAACAGAACCAGACTTGGGAAAGTGCAAAGGTGCTTTGGATGACCAGTCTGACGGTCGAACGAGCTCTAGTTGATTTATGTCGGGATCTGGCTCTCTGAATTTGGCTTTCTCGTGTTTTCGCCTCGTTGACAGATGCGAAAACCACTTCGCGGCCTCCTGAACGTTCTCGGAACGCGGCGTAGCTGACGCTGGTTTTGGTTTTTGTCCACTTCCAAACAGGACCGGGGGTTGCTCCGCCACGGCATGCTGCCTTTTAGAAGGCAGTGAACGAATGCTGGGTGTGTAAGTGGGCGGCGTTTGTGTACTCTTCTGTCTTGCACTCACACAGGAGCTATCCCAAGAAATTGAAGGTTCAATCACGGGACCCTTCGTGGGTAAGCCAAGTTGTTTTCTTCTGGCATCTCTTCTGCGTCTCTTCTCCTCTTTTGCCTCCTGGAATTTCAAGTTCTTTCGCTCCCAGTTAGCTACGTCATACGCTTCAAGCTTCCCTTCTGCAATCTGTTGTTTTCTGCGTTGCCAGTCGATAAGGGTCTCTGCCGTTCTGAAGGATTCTGCAGGCTCCCAAGTACTTCTCCACTCAGGGTAATTGGCCCATTTGACCAGAAACCTCCTTCCATGTGGGAATTTGTGCTCGGCTAGGATAGCCTCCACATCATACTCAGATGCTTGTGAGCTGACCGCAGTCGAGGTGATGGAAATTTCATCATCGCTCTCATCCTGCTTTCTAGTCATTGCCGAATTATACAGCAAGACTGAATGGAGTTTGAGTGCGTAAGGATTTTCTGATATGTGGAGCCCAAGGAATGCAGGGCGCAACACAGAGCCGGAGACGCCAATTTAGCTACAGGATAGCCACCTAGCATAGCATAGTGGGCCGCCAGTGAGCTGGGCTTGAAACAAATGAATGGATAGTTGCTGAAAGCCAGCCAGCTGCTCATGTAAGCGCGATTCGAAATGTAGATTAGATTCGCACTGGCAAGTGCACACGGCAAACATACAGCGGAAGAACTGCAGGACCAATCATGCGATGAAAAGCAATCAGGTCACACAAACACACACTTACGGACACATACGGTGCACCTAAAGGAGCTGTCCGTGTGAAATGCGATCTCCCCCAACAGGATACTTACAATAATTGATCAATAGATCAAGAACTGAAGTCCTCGCGCCGCCCACCTGCATACACTCACGTGATCGTGCGCTAGGCCCGAAGGGGCGACAGTGCACTCGGCACTGCGAACGACGGACGGGAATCCGTAGGGAGAAAGTCAGTCTGGATAACCTCCTAATCTCCCTGCCCCGGTGCCTGCCTCCCCTACACTCATCGGTAAGTTCCTCCGATCCCGCCTCCCGTCGGTTACTTTTAAACGTCCCTTTTCCTCGCTCCCCCCGAGTGCTTCTGTCCCTTGGATGTGGTCCTGAAGGCTGACAACGTTGCGCCCCTCCTCCCAGAAAGTCAGACACACTCTATTACCGGATTTCCTTTCAAGAGCCTCCAAACCTCCCCCCAGCTCGATCACGTCGTATCCCTTCCCAGTCCTCTAGATCTTACGTGTAACAAAGCTAAGCGAGCTCTCGCAAACCACCCCTCATGGCTAACGACGAGTACGATGTGAGTATCCTCTTTCTCCCATTCGCACCCCTTGCCAAGCAACGGTATAACTAACGGGCTACTTGGTAGTTTCTCTTCAAAGGTAAAGTTGCCACTTCCCGTCTCCGCACAGTCGCCGCTCGATCCTATCGCCTCTATTGTCGGCCGCATTTTCGCGATACACGGCTAACCAACGACGATTGTACTTAACAGTTGTCCTGATTGGAGACTCTGGTGTTGGAAAGTCCAACCTTTTGAGTCGTTTCACCCGTAACGAGTTCAACCTGGACTCCAAGTCCACCATCGGTGTCGAGTTCGCTACCCGCTCGATCCAGGTCGATTCCAAGACGATCAAGGCTCAGATTTGGGATACTGCTGGTCAGGAACGTTACCGTGCCATCACCTCCGCTTACTATCGGGGTGCTGTCGGTGCTCTTCTCGTCTACGATATCAGTAAGCACCAGACTTACGACAATGTCAACCGGTGGTTGAAGGAACTCCGCGATCATGCCGACTCCAACATCGTCATCATGTTGGTCGGTAACAAGAGTGATTTGAGGCACCTGCGGGCTGTGCCCACGGAAGAGGCCAAGCAATTCGCAAGTATGTTGGAACCTTCGCTGGCTTAGGATGAAATGTGCTGGCGTGCTAACGTGCTACCAGGCGAGAACAACCTCTCTTTCATCGAGACATCTGCCCTTGACGCCAGCAACGTCGAGCTTGCTTTCCAGAACATCCTGACAGGTTAGACTTGCCCCTGGTCCTCAGTTTACCAGACGAATTCCGTCATGCTGACGTTCTTGTCACTTTTAGAAATCTACCGTATCGTCTCCAGCAAGGCTCTGGATGGCGGTGATGCCGGCCAGACCGTTCTGGGCGACCGCCGCGACATGGTGCGGATCGACGAGTCGGAGGACCCGAAGACCAAGCAGGGATGCTGTTAAGGGGCCACGAGATCGGGGAATGTGTGACACGTCAACCGCAACGACTTTTTATTTTTGTGATGTGATAATTGAACGGTCTTGAACTCTCTTTTTGTCTGTTACTTAGCCTCCTGGAGATGATACACAAGAGGGACGTTGTTAGGAATGGCACCTGGGGTCATGGACATTGTACGGCGGTGTTTGTTGGACATCACATTCTCCCGACACCTTGTTCGCTCTGCCTTTATATCTTCTGTTTCCCTTTTACCACTTTCCCCTCTATTCCTTTTGCTCCCCTTTCTTGTGGATTCCTCCCCCATCGTTTTCCTTTTTTTTCTTCCCTATATTCTAACCTGATGAGAAATTGATCTGATTAACGTCTTATTGCTGTTCCCCCCCATGATGTCTGCCTAATGACGGAAACCCAGATCCCTGTTTGGTTTAACGAATGTTGTTCTTATTTCCCACTTTCCCCCCGGCGTCTTATCCGTGGCTCTACAGGATTGCTGTTCGGTATGCACAGTGGTTTTGCTAAGATTACTCGCTTATAAATGCAATAAAAGAAGAAATGCACAAAAAGTGATCCGTAAGAGAAACAAGCAAGCAAGCAAGCCAAAGCAATCGTCCCTTCTGGCCGCCTCGGATGGGGCCCGACGCCCGTTGGTTTGCCCGTTACTAGCCATTAATAATTCGCCAACCCCATGCGGGCATCTCGCCCGACCCACTTTTGACCCGGGAGCTCCACAGCTACTTTCTCTTTTCTCTCTCTCTCTCTCTCTTCTCTCTCATCGCTACACACGCGGTACTCACTTAATCACTGTTTTTTATGTAGAGTATTACTCCCAGTGTAAATGGAATAATCGAAGATACACAAGAACACCAGCCACCACCTTTCCAGCCCCATTACCCCCAAGCCAACCACTTCAGCAAAACAATTACTCAGGTAAGACCACCTAAGCCAACCGCCTCGGTTTCAAGGTGCTCCCTTCACAGTGTGTCTCCGTCTCCACTCAATCCTACCCACTGTTAGCCGCCGCGGCTGAATTTATTCCCCGTCTGGTTTAGACTGGGTTGATCAGGGGTGAGAAGGGGAAGGAGACGTTGTGTCGCTTGACTAGGGGGGTTTTGGTCTTTCGACTGCTTTGCTTTTTTTTTGGCAAGTTGGGGGCTAGTCATAACTACTAGTAGAGTAAGAGTTATCTTTCTCATATCCTGCTTTATGTACAGGATTGATTGAATTGGGGCGTTGGAACTCTTGAGAAACATGAATACTTATGGTTGATTGGAGAGTACTATATAACAGAGATAGAAATTAATAGTAGTTGCCAGTTATTAATTAACGGAATAGAGTTCCGTTTGACAGGTAGCTAGACTATCTGCTAGATAGTCTACTAAGTTATGGTTGCTCTTAAGCTCTGGATTGGGACACGTGGGTGAAGATGATCACGCCATGTAGGTAGGTGTGGTGATTAGGGGCTGCTTTGGGGGGTTGCAGGTATGATATCTTATTAGGATTGGTTATTATTTGTGGTTTACTGTACGTACTAGGTTCGGGTGGTCAGGAACGGGTTGATGGGTCAGAATGGATGGATACTTATCTAGCTATTGTGTAGAGCCAATTGTTTGCTTGGCGTGCATATACTAAACTTGTTCATGTCTATGGTGGTTTGATGTCTGTAGGTCAGGTATGAGGTCTATGGTATTGATGAATATTTACTAATGGGAGCGCGGAGTATCTACAGAGTCCAAGGTGCTTGGTGGTCACACAAGGGAAAGGATAATGTTCCCATTGCACAGTTGATAGTTCTCTCACATTAACTATTGTAACACTAACATGCTTTCCTACAGTAATCGATATGCTACGCAATATGACAGCAGACAGACACAATTCCATCGTATCAATCCCACACCACGCCAACCTCCCGTTCTGCAATAGCAGCTCGAAACTCATCGATATCATCGCCCCGCTCCTTCATCACCCACTCCAATGTATCGCCAAAGGTCTCGCCATTGTCGCGGAACCAGTCCCCAAAGGAGCGTACATAAGTCTCCACCTGTTCTTTAAGAGGTGCATGCTCCCGTAGCCAGATCACCTGGCCTGGATCGAGTTTCAGCATGTCCTGCACGACATAATAATGTGGGATCTCGTCACCCCATCCTTCAGAACCAGGGTCATGAAAGTAATCGTTCCGAAACCGTGACTTATATTTGGCGGGTGATTCAGTGAAGTTGCTAGGGTGCGCGGTGTGGAAATACTGCTCGGCTGGATTGAGATCCTTCTCAAACAGACTAGGTGCACCAGCGGGACTACTGCTCGAAGGGTAATTTAAATGGATATTGAACGTCAGTTGATGGTTACTTTCCGGGTAGCGTTTGCGGAATTTGCGTTGGATAGTCCCGTTGCTTGGACAAATGTGGTTCTGCACAATATCACCAATGATCAAACGCACATCCTCAATCTCGGCCAGCTCGGCTGTGGACCAGTTGTGCAAGAGTTGGGCACGCTCGGAAACAATATGTGGAAGGGTGCGGCTAAACCGACTATAAGTCTCCGTGTGAAAGGCCCGGTGGTACAGCCAAAGACGATATATTGCACGGCGGAGACGGAACCGCTCGTCGTCATCCAGCGAGCGACGATTCTCATAATCGGTCTTCCATTTCTTGACCGGGTATATGGTTTCCCACTTCTGGGCCACGTGCCCGATCTGGACTATTTGTTTAAGGAGGGAGTCGGTTATAGGGGCGGTACGAAAGAGGTGGGCACGTTGGCTGGTATTCTGCGTGACGATCTGGATGATATCATCCAAAGGGCCCAGCTCAGACTCCGCAACATCAACGAGTATTTGTAGTTTATTGGACCGGTGGAAGACGGTATGAAGTCGCCGACAAGTCATTGCAAGGTTCATAACATCGGTGACAGATTCGCATGAGCGAAATATATGGAGCAATAGCTCCGTGGCCAATTGATGGAAGGGCATGGCTCAGTGGTATGAAAGGAACTAGAGGCGTTAGCGAATACACCAGTAGACATTTTTTTACTAGTCACACGTACCTAGTACAGTTAATCAGGTCAAAAAGGTATGGAGAGAAGATTATGTGGTTCAATTGCGAGTCTTAGGCACAGAGGTAGCCTCGGCGCTGTAGTGAGTCAACGCCGTCGCGATCACGATCTAACTCTAGGTCGCGACCCCGCCCTTGGGGGTGATCAAAACATAGTGAAAGCAAGACAGAGTGGATGCCATTGTGGAAGAAGGTGCATGAGCACCCAGCGACCACCCAGGGCTGTATTGCGAAAGGGATGCCATGATGACGAGCGAAAGGGTGCAGCTGCGCTGAGGAAATCCGGGGCAGGCAAAGGGAGACCCGCCGCCAAGTCACTTGACAGGATCCCCCTTCATCATTCCGCTTTCCAGCCAGGCAGACGCTCCTCCGCAGATGCGCCATGGCTCACCAGCTACTTCGTACTTTAAGTCAAATTGCGACATACTTATAGCTCAAGAACGTACAGCCCAGTAGTTCGTGGCCTCCCTTGCTGCAAGTTACACCACTCTTTGGAGAGCTGGAAGACTGACCGTTCCCCGATTACCAATCGCTGAGGCTCATAGCAAGTATACTAATCCACTCAGTAAGTCCAAGAGTCGTTTATTCTATGATTAGATCCATAAAATCAGGATAATAGTGAACCGTAGCATCAAAACTTTTATTATTATTTCACACCAGACGCCAGCAGGACCATGCATGTACCCCTCGCATCAATACATATACATCCCTTGAGGATATCAAGTCTAATAGGGCGTAAAACAACAGAAAGAACCAACAAAACGGAAATCGATCACTTGAACAGTTGCCTTGTGTCGAGCGCATCCGGCTTCCTCTCGCCTTCTCCCAATCCCAAGTTCGACCGCTTCGCGAACCGGTCGGTCTGCCCATCTCTGCGCTTGGCGTAGCGAGCCGCCTTGCTCATGCGGACCTCGCGACGGACCTGGTTCGGGCTCACGTACTCCTTGTTCTCATAGATGACAGGACCGCCAAAGCTGCCCTCCAGGATGACAATAGGCGTAAGAACAAAACGGGGGCCGATCTCGACCAGAGAAACCTCCGGCTGACCGTCCTTGCTCTTGGGAGTGGGCTTGGCATCTGCACCATCCTCAGACTTCTTTCCGGGCTCGGACTCGCGGATCTCGTAGACTCGAATCCAGATCTTGCCATCGACACCGAAGACACCAATGATGCGGTCAATGAATGGCTTCATGCCCTTGACACCACGCTTAGGGACACAGAAGACACCGCGCAGCATCTCTCTGATCAGACCCCGGTATTCGTTTCCGGGTTGGCTCATGAGCGGACCCTGTTCGTCGAAAGAGCGATCGAAAACAACAAGACCACGGCCACCCTTGAGGCAGTTGCCGCTGAATCCAGCATTCAATTCAGCCATTGTGTGCAAGTTGGCGACGTGGAACTTGATCGTCGGGCCATTGGGAGGACGAGCAAGCCAGAGGTACAAGTCCTGACCCTGCTTACGAGCCTCGAGGAAGAAAATCACGTTGCAGGAGTGAAGGTCGGCAAGAGAGTTAAGGAGCAGATTGTATCCAGCGGTCTTCTTCTTGGTGTCAAGTTTGCTTTCCTTGTGAGTGTGAGGAAGCAGAGACGCAAGGTCGGCGAGCAGGTGTCGATGGCTGCAGCAAACAGAAAAGATTAGCGTCACATTCGCACATTGTTAATATATCATGTTGGATGGGGGCATCAAGCATACCGGTATGTCACACCTCGAGAGGTTAGCATCAATACACGAGTCTTGGGCATGAATCCTTGAGCGAGCTGCTTCTTGGCTGATTCGGTCGTAGTTTCTTCATCGCTTTCGCTGTCGGTGGTGTCGTCGGCGTTGTCGAGAAGTTCCTCCATCTCGATATCCTCCTCATCGAACTCCTCCTCCTTGGCGAGCTGACGAGCTGCCTTCTTTGAGATAGTCTTGTAAACGGATGCCATGGTGAATGGGTTGTAGCGATTTGGAGACTCCGATTCTGTTGATCGCCCGCAAATTTAGAAAAAGCTGCGGGCAGAATAATTTTTGGCTGAGACCGCCTTCCCCATGCGTAAGATATCTGTCACGTGATATATGTATATTCCTACAGTTGAATCTAGATCCTTATCACGTGTATTCATGACAATATTTTATTAGTACGTAACGAGCATTCAACATCTGAACTAGAACATGCGCGCTATGCTCTATGAATAGTTAATCTTGCAGCTTAAATGGTCGATCTCAGTTCATCGATAAGCATAACGGCTGCATTATTAATAAATCTTGCTCTCCTACTCTTGATCCCACCATAATACATTTTCACTACATGATTTATATTCGCTACTACTTAGTACTTTGCATTGAAAGTGGTTCTCTGCAATAATATACAATGACTCTAAGGAAAAGACTCCAAAGCTCTTGCAAGGCCCGAAAATCCTTCCTGGGAGACTTTCATACCAGCAAGTCGATTCGCAAAGCCCAATTTCTGTGACAGGCTCCATTCATTTCTTCGACAGATTAGTGCGTATAGCATGCCGGCTATAAAAGTATCACCTGCGCCGATCGGGCTTGTTCAATGTTAGAGGGGCCGTTCGAATACAGTAATTACCGGATGTGGCACAACCAGAAATCACGAGGAGAAGAAGTTGTTGGCGGACTTACTCGATGACTCGAAAGTTTGCTGCAGAGTATGCAGGACTATGAACCAGACTCTGCGTCTTGGTCTCAAAGGCCACTGCACCTCCTTGACCCCAAGTGCAGCATAGCAACGACCTGGTAAAATCAGCACTCATATTCTCAACGTGTAGGATACAGCAAGGACCATACGCTTTCCGTGTTAGTGTGGATTCTTTCTGAACACATTCTTCAGCAGTTTGGTATCCGTTGCCCTGCATGTCAGTGGTCAGAGAGATACACGATGTAGATTGCCCAAGGAACCCTTACTTGAGCCCAGCTCTTCGAGTAGAACACTATGTCGGCTTCCGCTGCGAGGTTTTGCAGACCCTCACGCCCAGGCTTCTCAACCTCGACGCTGATAGTCGCGGATGGGTACTGTTGACGGAGATATTGGATACATGATAGAGTTATATCAGGTATCCGACCCTGATAACGAAGTTGTTAGCTCCTGAAGAATGCATCATAAGTGTAAAAAGCATCGTGACAAACCTCAAAGTGGAACCAGGATGGATTGGTGAGATTGCCTGCAATCTGGGTAAACTCGTCTACCGTGATCTCAGGCAGTTCATTGTAGTTGACAATGGTCCGACTGCCAGACGATTCGCTTTTTATGATGTAGCTTGAGGCGGGCTCATTGAAGGCCTCTCGAAAGATACAATGAGATAGGTTAACGTGCGGTTTGAATGCCGACTGGATCTCCTGGGAAGCAGTAGATGTCTTCGCAGGTAGGACAGCAATAAGGTTCAGGGAGACATTGGCAGTCGACGGACTGCTCGTTGTCAACTGCTTTAGAACTTCCAGAGAGTTTGGGCAATTACCTCCCCGTCGATGGGAGATACTCGAAGCCCGTAGCTTGTCATCTTCTCCTGGGTAGTGGGGGGTGCTAATACAAAGAATGAGTTACTGAAATGGTGGGAACTAAGAGTAGAGGCGCCAACCAACGTTAGGATTGTATCCAGATAGCATGCACCTATTGCGACCAATGACATCTTGTTTACTCGATGATTCCTACAAAGAGGAATGATATACTGAAGCTGAATATCTGCTGCAACTTGTATGCCGAGAGGGGTAATGTGGTGGTGGGATTAGTCAGGACCCACTGTCGACATCATCGCTGAAGTTGGAGATCCACGATCGAGTAAACAGTCGGAGAACACGGTTGAACGGACAACAAGGACACAGGCAGTAGGTTTGAATCCTCCCTGTGAGCATTCACCATGTATAATGAAAATAAATGGAAACAACCGTACTCTGGACGGCTTCTACCATCGAGAGATACTGGTAGTGACTAGTTGTCGCGGAGAGAGCCACGTTGATATGCAAGAAACCACGGCATCTTCCGTAAGTAATTGACAGATAAAATAACATGAGACATCGATACTACCTGCTAATCATTTTGGTGTGATTGGTGTTTCATGAAAAGGTAAAATATCCACTTTTGCTTACAGGCAGAAGAACGTTTTCAGGACATTAGTATGCTTTATTCACTATGGAAATTCTTTTGCAGCTATCTGTGCCTACATCGATTAATCAAACCTAATGTCGGTCCTACTATACGCATCTAAACATGTTATGCATGAAAGTGACAGGAGGCTCAGTGCTTAGAGATGATATTCCCACAACAGCAAGATAGGACCACATACAGGGTACTATGAATTATTTTCTACGCGTTATACTTCTTGACTGGTGTGTATATTACTATATTGCTAGTATATGTTCTGCCAACCGTCTCGATCAAATACAACTAAGATACTAGTAGTATGTAATAAAATTTCACACGATGTACACTCCCAATGGCCTAGTATGTCGAGTTGAACAGTCTTATTTCTTGAACATGATTTTTTTCTTACTGTAACAATAGTAGCTGGCACTGCAAGCCTAATCCGAAGGGTAAACCTGATTTACAGACCATGGCTAGACTGCCGAGCATACTTTGCCTTACTGCACTAATTTTCTAAAGTGCATCTAGAACCAGCCTTTGCTTTGTTTTCTGGTGAGCTGCCCTCAGTATACCAATCCTGCACCAGCAGTCTGATCCACTATCCTGCGTGCACGGGTGAGTAGCACCAATCAGGCCCTGTATTCAAGGATATTAACAGGAACAGGAACAGGACGCTAGGCATCTACATGGAGGCAATACCTAGCTGCGCATACGCTGTTATTGTCGGAAACAAAGTGGAGCCCTCACGGAAAGCATGCATACAGTACCTGGATTCACTCACAAAGGAGATACTGAACGTTATTCCGGAACTGGAAAGTAGGCCTATAAGTATCAGGTCCAAATCCATGTTCTTCCATCTCCCATCATTCACCTCCAACATCTTTCTCGTACTGTGAACACTTCATATTCCATTGTGCTTGCACAGGACACACATACATTGGAGTAGTTGAGGTGATGGAAAGCCGGAGCCCAACTCCTACCAAAACCACCGTCAAGCCCAGTGCTTCTGGTATGTCCCCTCCTGTTATATCCCCTTTTGAATTGTTCTTTCTGACATGAATGCTTCTGGTATACAGGTACTATGAAGCCCGACCTACCCATGGATCATCAAGCCGAGAATGATTTCGCCTCTCCAACGAATCCATCATCGGCTACGTCCACCGCGTCCAACTATAGACGCACCAAGTCCATCATGTCAGTTGATGAGCCGGCTGTAAAGTTCTTGTACACCATTATGAAACAGTTGGATTTGAGAACGGTTTGTGCACACCTGGAATACAGTGACAGTAGCTGACTACTAAGCAGATCGACTGGGCCTTGGTTGCCTCGCAGCTGAATATCTCCAATGGGCATGCTGCAAGAATGCGGTACTCGCGGCTCAAAGGGCAGCTGGAGAATCAAGGGTCTAGCCAGAAAGTGGCGCGTCCTAAGAGAGCTGAGACCAGAAGGGCAGCCAGAGCAAGTTCCAGTAGGGCAAGGACCACGATAGTGCCGGTGACCTCTTACCCTGACTTTGAACCCCTCGTCCCCATTAAGGAGGAGGTCAAGGAGGAAAGTTACGATGAGACGATGGTTCGTATGGCAGATATTCCTCTCGCTCCTCCTCATGCTATGCAGCCGGGTTCGTTCGTCACCCCGTCGGCGTATCCGTGGGGATACTACTATCCGCACAGATACAGTATGGATGAATATAACATGTACATGCCGATGGGCTATGCAGGTAGCTATCAGCAGCCGCAGCAGCCGCAGCAGCAGCACGAGCAGCAGTACCTGCCATTGGCTATGGCTTCTGTTGGCTGGGAGGACTTTAAGTTTGAGCCAGAAGACGAGGAGAAGAGGTTGGACGAGGTGAAAGATGAACCGGTCGACAAAGGCAAGGGTGTGGATAGGGAAATCAAGGAGGAACTATCGGAGAAGAAGTCGGAGATTACTGTCATTGAGGACTGACGGAAACAAGTCAAGATCCTGGCTTCTGCAACTACGATAGACACTGGCAGGTAGAATTCAATCCTTGTGGGAACTGGAAGCGGGTTTTCTGGAGGTTTGTTGCTGGCTTTGACAACCGGTCACAAGGACCACTGTTCCTTAGCTAGGACTATTCTGGTAGCAGAAATATGACATTGCTTTTGCTTATGAAGTTCTTCTTTAGCTGCGCGGTAGTCTTCATATCAATGGTGCATAACACCTTATTACTGGCTTCACTTTTCCCTTACGCCATCACAAACAAATCATACCAGCTATACTGGGTGAGTGGACCAGAAGTTGGTCTCGCCGATTAACCTAAAATAGCAGCGAACTGCTCGGTGAGGACTCTCACATTTTGACGTGTTTATATAGTGGGGACCTGTGGCTCAACGTCTCACTTGTCTCTGTCCTTCACCACCTGAACGTTCCCTTTTCATCTCCTCTCCATCTCACCGATTAGACCGTTCACTCTTACTCACTTCTCATAACTAAGTCATCTGTTCTACAAATTCTCTACACCCTGCCATCTAGACAACTAAATTTTCTAACCTTCGCTATGGATAAGACTACTAAGTCAAAGGCCGCGAAGTCAAATAATACCGGTCTGGAAATCCCTAATGCAGACGCGCATTTCTTCCTTGCCTGTTTGCAATGCATGGGGGACGACAAGCAGGTAATATGACCTCTGATCGCACATATCGACTCTACTAATACGCCCTTCTTCTCTCCAGATCGATCTTACCAAGGTTGGAGATATGCTGGGTTACAGCAATGTTGCTTCTGTCGGCAACCGTTTCCGTTCCCTCCGCAAGCGCTACGGCATGAACAATCTTGAGGCCAAGTCCGGCTCTGGTATACTCAAGAGCGCAGGTACCAATGGAGACAAGGATAAAGAAGCTACTGGCACTACTGAGGCCGGCGATGGCGTCAATGAGGAATCTGATATCGACGAGCCTTCTCCCGTCAAGCCCAAGGGTAGAAAGGTCGCCACGCGTAAGGGAGCAAAGGCTACTTCGAAGCCCATTCCTGCCACTGGTACGCTCAAATCAGAGGTCAAGGGCCGCAGGCGCGGAGCTAAATCTGCTGCTGCTGTGAAGGAGGAAGAGGAGGACGATGCGGACACTCTCATCGAAGACAATACCCCAGATGCTGACATGGAAAGTGCTACGGCTTGAACTACAATTCGTGATTCTGCTCAACGCTTGGAAGGATCTTAGAAATCCGAGTCTATACCTAATGCTCGGAACTTGTCTTTATTTGGTCCACCCTGTCGTGGAAGGTCGTTTCACCGCAAGGAATAAGAGGAGAACTTATCTGGAAGGACTGGAGGTTCACGCATTTTGTAATTCCTATCCACATTGCAGGGCTTGTGTTGTTACTTGCGCTGCGGAGTTTACACCAACATTTTCTTGTTTCTTCTTAAGAGATCTTGAACAGCATTGGGATGGGGTGTGCAGTATCAGAGCACTAGATATCTGCTGAATGGGAGAATTATCCTACTGACTTGTCCATTCCGTTGTAGCTGTATAGAAGTGCCAGAGCGTAGTATCACATCACTGTTCTCTAGAGATCGATCCTTCACTTCTTCATCCCCCAATGAGACACCCAGACTCATTCACAAGAACCCTAAGCGAAGCCAGCAGTGACTCCACTAACATCCCCTCAGCCCTCAGCCCATCTCAGTGTTACTGCCCTCCCATCTTCTTCTTCTTCTCGATCTCTTCCGTCTTCCTCCTTTCTCCCCACTTCTTACTCTATCTCTCCCTACTCTCACCCCTCTTTCCATCTTTCACACCTGTTCACCCGATCGGACTCCCTGATACTCTACCGAGTCCACAATCAGAAGAAACGAGAGGATTTTCACCTACATCTACTCACACCCGCATCCCTTTCACAATCAGACTCACAAAGCAGAAATAAACCCAGCCCAACATGTCCACCACAACTACCCCTACCAAGCCCACACGCATCACCCCAGACGAGCAGCTTCATTTCCTCCTCAGCTGTATTCGCCACTCCAACAGCGGCAAGGTAAGTCCCATTCTATACTATCCTCTCCAAACAAAGAAACTCACCCTATCGACAAGATCATTAACAACCAATTAGATTGACTTCACCGCCGTCGCTAAAGAATGCAGTATCGTCACCAAAGCCGCTGCGTACGTTCACCCCCCACCTTCGAATTTACATAACACCTAGTACTAGTACCCAAGATGTCACGAACAATAACTTACACTACTGCGCCAACCCTAACGTATTATACTAATCATGCTACCCATAACCAGAGCAAAGCGCTACGAACGCCTCCTGAAGTCCCACGGCATCAACACCTCAGGCAGTGGCTCACTCCCCTCCTCCTCTAACAACACGCCTGCCAAGAAACGACCGGGAACAGCTACTACCACTGCTAGTAGTACTGCCGCCGCAGGGAGCACAACTCCGACCTCGCGAAAGCGTAAGGCCGATGGCATCAGCGATGCATCAAAGAAAGCGAAGGGGTTGAAGAAGATGGCTGTCGCTCGGGCGGAGAGTTTGATGCAGAAGAAGCAGCATGCCGGTGTTGGAATTAAGAAGGAGGAAGGTGTTGATGATGATGAGGAGGAGACTGAGGAGGATGAGGAGATGAGGGCATTGGAGGAGGAGGGGCTTTCTGGTGTTGGTGGGGAGTTGGCTGTGAAGGAGGAGGCTGGGGATGATGAGGAGGAGGGGGTGGAGGTGAATGAGGCTTGAGGTCTTTGCTTTTTATTCCTCTGGATTCCATAGTTGGTAGGCTAGGTTATGCAATTTGCCGTTAGAGGAGGATGAGTTTCTAGTTGACCATGGATAGGGCAGACGGAAGTTTGATGCGTTCTGATTTTTGCTTGCTTGCTTGCGTTCTACTAGGTTGGGCGATAAGGGATGGATATTGTATCATACGATACTCCGACAGGCTACTTTGATGGACTCTAGGACTTGCATAGGGCTTCAGTTACTGCAGATATGAATCAAGCATTTGATGGTATCAATAGACTCTATACTAATTAACAGGCTCTGAAGCAGATCGAACAAGTTCGCTCAAGGGGTATCTGTAAAGAAGACCGAACCGAAACCAACAAACAGCAGGAGAGCGCCATTTGGCTCCAGCCCACAGACAAACAGACAGACAACCAAGAGCAGAAGAAATGAAGTTTTATAAATGTGTCCAGGTGAGACTCGACCATTGATATGAGAATATACTGTATAGGGTATCACAACAAGTCGGGGAGGAGGGGATTTGTTAGGAGATGATTAAGAGTCTGACTCGCTGTGAACGACCAGTGCTCACAGAGCCGCGAATCATCTCTAAATGTCTGCCATCACAGACTCGAGGATTTTGCGCTTATATTGCGACAACATTCGCTCCTTTCGCTGCACTTGCGCTCGGAGTTTGAGGTATCTTTGTTTCCACGTTGCGTCGGGGGTTGAATCCTCCGCATCCACTTCGAATTCAGCATCTGTCATGCTGTCGGCTTCTGCTATGCTGGCTTCAAGTTCCTCGGTTACCCGGGGCATAAGGTCGAGCTTGTGGCTGTCCGGAGTGGGAGTGCTAATGCTGAGGTCGCCGTATGTGACTTTGGTTGAAAACCGAAGTCCGTGCTTGTACTCATGAGAAATGGTGTACACATAGTTGGGGCTTCCATCGGTGCTTGGCGTGTCTGAGGTTATGGCAGGCCCTGACTCGACATTTACGGTCATCAGGCTGTCTGTCACTCCTGGATAGCCAAATTGCTGTCCAAGTCCCAGATGTAAGGCGGACATAAGCGCCGCCAAGCCGGCTGGTAGCTTTGCATATGTAGTGGTCAAGCTGGACACTACAGACATTGCAAGAGCCCGGGCCTCTTCAGTGCTGAGGGGAGCAGACCGACCGGTGGTCTTTCCACGAAGAAGTTCGCTTGACAGTACACGTACAACGTCATCGGAAGATATATCCGCATGTGGTACGCTATTGCGGTTTGCGTAAGCAGATGGGTTGGTGACGCCCACATTACTCATGAAGTCGTTTAGAGGAGCAAGGGTGCCATTACGCTGCGTTCCCTGCCCTTCCATCTTTGTTGAGCCAGGAGCATTGTTGATACCATTGACCATCAGGGTAGGAGGGGTTGCCAGACGGACAGGTGTGCCGGGGTGGGGTGGTACCTGGAGCTGTAATTTATCTGGCTTGGGACCGAAATGGAACGGCGTAGGGGACTGCTGGAAAGGAGAATGATTGTAACGACTGGCAGGGTCCTGATCCAGGAGCATAGCAGGGGAGGACCGAAGCCCCGGGCCCGGTAAATGAGATGCATCAGTGCGATTGGGATTGACTGGGAACGAAGAGAAAGGTCCAGAAACAGTCCCTCGATTTGGTGGCCGGCCTCGGGTCTTTCCATTACTGCCAGTGTTGCTCGGCCAGGCAGATGACACTGCTGGGCCATGGCGTCGTTTAGGCCGCGTCTTCTCCCCGGAAGAAGACATTGTGACCGCTGAGCGCGGCTCTGCAGGCTGGATGAAGACATCAGACTCATGCTGGCTTCTCGGTGCTATAGCAGAATGCGGATAACCCCCTGGGGAAGCATCTCGTTCGATAGGTCGCCACCGCAGGTCCGGGTTAGACTGCGACGAAGGTTCAGAAGTCCCTTCCGGTGGGAATGGAGGTGCGCTGCCCATCCACGGATCATGCGACCCCATCTCGTCAGGAAAGGTGCTAAATGGCAGGGCACCTGGTGGGTATGGTCCTGGAGGGCCTGGGAATGGCCCTGGCTGCAGGACGCCCATTGTTGGATCGAGATGGGGCCTTTTCGCCATGGCTAGTCTTTCGTTTTCTTCCTCGGCTCGTTTCCGTCCCCTTTTCGGCCTCCATTGCGGAACCAGAGCCCGTAGCGCAAGATCTTCTTCAAGAGGCACTCCATCGCGGCTATCGCTGATCACATTAGCAGGCGGAAGATGGGTGTAATAGGGATGCGGATGACCGAGACAATATTCGAAGAAGGCATCCACGTGCATTGCGCGCATCCAGCGCTAGGTATTCATTAGTCTTCTAGTTAAACATGCAGTCTGGAATGGGTTTAGCGACAAACCTTGAGCCGAACAGCATATTGCTGGACCTTTTGAGTACTCTGTTTCTTCTCTAATGAAGGCGGTTCTACCCCCAGCTCGATCGCCAGTTGTATCCATGTCTTTAGCTCTTTGCTGTCTAGCTTCCGAATAAGCTCCCACAATGCGAATATACTGAAACTCTTGCCATCACTCCGAGGTGGGCAGCGAAAGTTCTTGCGGAGCTCTGATGTGTCCACAGACAGAGGGACGTTTGGATTGCAGTAGAAGACAAACATGATGTAGGCATCATCGATGGAGCTGTCAGTCAAATCGCGAGAAGGCAGGGATCGGGTTTCTGTCTGATCCATCGAGTCCCGTGGAGGCCGGGGACGGATAGAATCATACATCGGAGGTGAGATCGAAGGTCCAGAGTGCGCCACCATTGCAGGTGGTGGTGGAGGTGGAGGTGGAGGCGGCGCTATGGGCCGTGGGCCGGTTGGCGATGCCTGAAGACTGCGCGGGGTAGCTTTGCGCGCCAGAGGAGGGGATTTGGAGGGAGCTATGTGAGTGCGAGCACTGCCTATGGAAGAAGCGCTATGTAAACCAGGCTCCAGAGCCGGAGGATACCTTGCGTACTGTTGGATGACCATCGGCGGAGGCCCTAATTCAGTCCGTTCCGGCGGCACAGGTTGGTTCATCACGTTGGGAAATGACGGTTCCATCTCGATGATTGTTTTGGAACAATGAACAAGCCAACAGCAAACACTTTGATTATGTGAACAAGAAAAGGGAGAAAGGGAGAGAAAAGTCGCCGGATCGAAAGCGATTCTATATATTCAATAAAGAAACGTTGGTGCAATGATAAACACAGGAAGTAGTAATGATAATGATAATGATAATCAGAATAATAAGGATAGGAGGGAAGGTGGAGGAGTAGTATCATATGGGATTTTAGCTTTTGACTCAATGAGAGAGATGAGATAGGGCAGATCTTCTTTCCAGCACGCGCCGACGTCGTAAGACCCTATCAGATCGCAAACCGCACGGGTAAAATTAGGGACCAGCCCAATGACGAGTAGTGCGCATGGAAATCAATCAATGGTTTAGGGGATTTCGGGGGAGGATTTGTCTCGCAAGAGTCAGAACAAGCAAAGATGATACCCGCTCGGGATTGGAAGCATCAATCCACGACGACGGCGACGAAGGTTCGACCGACAGAGCATTGTCACCAGGCGCCAAATGGAAGGGGGAGGAGAAAAAGAGGAGAAGGTGGCTGGCCGACGGCGGCGCTTTAAAGAAAGCCGGTGATAACTCGATTGGGAGGAGCTGACTTGACTTGTTTCTATTTCGGGACTTCAGGCCTACGCTGCGATGCCTGTTATAGTCTAGTGTTGTGGCCTCAGGGCGGGGGAACTTGATGCCTGGCCCTGTCACGCCCGTCACACTCGTCACATGTCTCCTCCGCTAGTCTACTTCAGGCGTAGTGAATCTCCCGACTCCCCCCTTATCGATAATGCCTCCCGCCTCCCGCCTGTCCGCCTTTCCGCCTTCCCCAACTGGGAAGCTGCGATGGACCTGGAACGCCGACATCATTCTTTCCTTTCCCTACTTACTACTCCTCCGTAACTCACCTCCTCTTCCTCCTCCTTCTACAACAACCTATCCCTCTTTACAATTTCTTCTTCTTCTCCCTCTCGTTTCCCTTTCTCTTCTGGCTTCCTCACTTCCTCTCTTATTTTTCGTCGAGCGCTTTCCAGATGAAATGCGATCCTCTCCCTTGCATCTCGTCTACCTCACACCACCTGGAGCTTAGTAGCGGCCGCACTAGCAGCAACAGCTCCTGTGCCGTCTACCACTCCCAGTGCTCTCCCACACCGCCTAGTATTATTACATCAATTCACTCGTGCCGCCATGGCTCCGTCATCGAGATCGTCTCGTCCCATCCGTTCCAGTCGCACTCAAGTCCAATCCTACCATGAAGAAAGCAGCTCCGAAGGTCGTGATGACGAGGATACCCAGTCGGACGAGGAACGAGCGAGGCGCTTGTCGCTTTCATTGCGCCCCCGCAACTCAGCTCGTGTGCCCACATCCTACCGTGAGGAATCCACTGACGATGACTTTGATGCAACGAATGATGAGCCGGAAGCTGTAGTCCCTACGATTGATGCCCCTGAGCATCTTACTTATCCGTATACTGAGACGAACAGTCGTTCCGCGCCATCTCGAGCCCCGCGTAATCGAACCGTGAAAACACGCTCCCAGACAAAGAAAGTGGAGAAGCGCACGGGTCGGAGACGAATCGAGCTGGGCCGACCGCTCAAAAAACGTAGAAAGGTTGAGGAGGATAGTACGCCAATTGTTACTTCGGGGGTTATTCCACCATGGCAAACCCTCCCATACCACATTCTCTTTGACATATTTTCCTGCGCATCAAGCCCACTAATGGATGAAAAGACCGCGAGCAGGCATAGCTCCGTCCAATGGCTTGTGAACATTGCTTTGATGTGTCATGCGTTTCATGAACCTGCGCTGGCGGCGCTCTATCATAGCCCTCCCCTTTTGCCAGCAGCCAAGGCCCATGGCTTGCTACAGCTGTTGGCTAAGCCCCAGGACTCTCTTTCCACTAACTACGTTAGCAAGGTCAAAGAACTGCACGTTGACGTCGAGAGTCTTCTATTCTACAAAAGCGGACCGACCCTGGGCTATTTTGAGTTGTCAAGGCTAATTGAACGAACCCCTCAGGTCAAAACGCTGCGTCTCTATCATAAAGAAGATTACTTCCTGGGCGGCTCCCCCTGGCTGAACCCACGGTCAAGATGGACATACCCGGACTCTCTCTTTACATCACTAGTCTCCAGTTCAATACAACTGCGTTGTTGGGAGTGGAACAGTCGCTTCATGGAGACCAGACAGTTGCTGCCCATCATGCTAGAGAAACACTTGCAGCCCGCATTCCATAGACTCCAGGAGCTTCGATTGTTGCACATAACGTCGGAGGATGCAGATGGTGATGAGCTGGGCTCCGATGAAAACGAAGTGGTTCTTGCGACAACCCTACGAGAACTCCCAGAGCTGCGTCGCTTAGACTTTGTGCAATGTTCCATTGTAAACGAGTACCTCTTACCCAACTTACCGATGGGACTTACTTCGCTCACCATTAACAACTGCGACGCGGTCACTGCGATGAATCTTGGCTCATTTCTCTTCTCACATGGTCATCATCTTCAAAGTTTAGATTTGAGACATAACCGCCATCTAAGCTTAGCTTTCGCTGTGAATCTTGCAGAGTCCTGCAAGAATCTCGAGAAGTTCCGCATGGATATATCCATGTATGATGCGTCGAGTTATCATGACGTCGAACCCCACTTTCAAACTCTTCTTGATCTGTCCGCCGGTGTTCCAACCTGGCCGTCCACGCTGCAAGACATTGAGCTGATTCAGTTGCGCAAATGGGACGATACGACAGCCGAAGTCTTCTTTGGAACGCTCATCGATGCGGCATCGGAACTGCGAAATTTGCGACGACTTGTAATAAGTGCAATCCTAAAGATCGGCTGGCGGGATCGTGCGTCCTTTCGAGAGAAATGGATCGGAAAGCTTGAGAAGACTTTCCTGCGCCGAAGCCCACCCCCGGACCCGAGTCTCCGTTCCATTCCTCGCGCCGTACCACAGTCAGACGTAACCCATCAGAGTCGTAATACACATGCAGAGGAGACCCATACACACTCTGATACCCAGCATAGCGGACTTTCAACACCATCCAAACGCAAGAGCGCGCGTCTTGCTCTGAGGAAATTCTCCGAGACCGGTGATGATGAAACCGAAAAGGCAGAGAGGCAAGAATCCCGGGAGATCAGCGACATACCATCGACTATGATCCAAGGCATGTGCGATGTGGTGATGGTCCGCATTGACAATCAGCGTCCATCTGAGACACAATACAATGAGGGGGATTTTCTCGACGACGAGCTCAGTGGCGATGAGGACTGGAATGGGAATGACCTGGAAGTCAATGATGGGAGACATGCGTGGTAGCCTTAATTTTTTTTGACCCGCTGGCGTGTATTTGTGCTTCATCTAGTTTATCTCTTTTGATCTCACATGATACACACTGGGTAATCTGGTCAAGGTGTTCGGGATCGATAAAAGGTTGATTTTCGGGAATGGGGAGTTTCTTCTATAGCGTGGGCATAGGGACTGTGAGTTGGCTGTTTCGCAATCTTAAAAATACCATCTCTATTTTGTATCTTATGCTGGCAATCTTGACAACATTAGACGAAGTTCAACCGAAGCGGTAGAATTAAGGAGATTAATCTGGGATAGGAGCATGCTACTTGTTCAAACGGAATGGTATTTCATATAGTTCCACATAAACTTATCAAGACATGATAGTCTGTTTGTCATGATTCACTCAATAATACACCCCGCCCTTACAACAGGGACTCCTCCTGGTACTCCAGGGTACCGTTGTTGTTGGTGACATGCTCGCCCAGGTTAACATCAGCGTCAAAGGCTTCGCCCTCGGAGTTTTGGAGTTTGGCTCTAAGAACGGGGACGTTGTCCTCTCCCTCAATGGCGAAGCTGATGTCCTCGGCGCTGCCGGCGAAGTCGTTGCCGCCCCACAGGAAGCGACCTGTTAGGTGTAAATGGTTAGCTTGGCCATAATCTAAGTAGAAGATGGCTACGCTCTGGTAGCTTGCTAACGGATCACATACCCTCTTCGTTTCCGATGCACGAGTTAAGATCGAGGGTAGATTCGACCATCTCTCCCTCCTCGTTGGCGACTCTAGCGATCAGGATGTGGCCATCTTCGACGCGGATGTCTTCGGCGGTACGGAAGAAGCTCATTGTGATGGAGTTGTGAAAGAGGTTATGAGGGAATGGATGAAAGGTGGTTGTGTAATGAGATTGATTGCTTTGTGGTTGTGGTTGGGTTTGTTGATGGAGGGGAAGAGGGGATGAAGGGGGGGGGGGTTTATATACCTCGTCGAGCCTCAGTGGAGTCGGCTCTTCGCAGTCACCAAGAGATCCTGAGTATGGATATCATACACTTGGCCTCAGGTCATTTGCCAGTGGCTTGAGCATTCATTGATTGATTGTCGACAACCTGGTAAGAGTAGGTAGGCTATTTTCGTGGGGGCTTCTTGGGATAGGGGAATGCAATGCAACAACCCCAGTATGGAGTGAAGCACCATGAACGGTGATTTGACGGTTCACCGTTTCTAGCCCCAGACAGGCGCCAGAATTCCCACTATTGTGGCTGATTGCTCCATAGGAATTGACAATTATTGTTTCATGGTGGTCTCTGGGGCCAGTGATCCCCCCACTCCGCGTGCTCAATGAGGCTTCTTGGCAGACAGGTCAGCGGTGGACCCTGAAAGGGTCCCTCCCCCTTCATCTCAGCCACAGGCAGGGCTCCATCTCCATGGTCAGTCGTCCGTTTCCCTATCGTCCTAGGCAGCAGTCTTGGTATTGGCGCTTGGTGCATGTCATGGCCCGCTGTGCGTTGAATCTGGAATGGCGACATGCTTGTCATCGATGAGCATTTGCGGCTGCTGTTGGATCCGGCTGGTCGCAGATGCATCCATGGGCTTCTGTTGGGCTGACAGTCACAGGGCGTAACGACGCCCCACGGGATAATCCCTTGGCGAGTGAAACAGAGCCGAGATAATGACATAAGGCTGATTGACAACATTCCCTTTTTTAGACTGAGCGATTCCGGGCGGAGTGGCTGTGTTTCGAATCTCTTGTTTGCTGGCCAAGAAGTTAGAAATGCCCCTGACAGGGCTGAGTGCCTTAGGCAGAATAATTCCGGGAAAAGAGTGTACGGGAAACCGTTGGCTGGCAACGCTCTACCATCAGCAGATCGAAACCTGTGGTGTGGCTTATCCCAGGAAAACCCCGCTATGGAGACTGTTTGACCTGGCGAATCCTCTTGGCGCGGTGTTTATGGGGCGAAATGTCTTTCACCGTAGCCCCAGCGGAACAACACATTACGCCTCTTGCGTGGCCTTATTGTTTGCTTGGCCTTCCCTTGCATCGGAATGCCCACTTTGCTTTGCGCAAGGTAGCACTGGATTCGATCTCGATCTGTATCATAGGCCATGAATCTCGCAAGCGACCAGGCCAAAACCAGTGGTTTCGGTCTCTGTTGGCTTACGTTTGTCCCGCTGGCAGCTTAACTAGCTTATAGCTCAGCGGCATATCTGACTGCGAGCTAACGCATCTGGACCGAGTGAGAGATGAATAATGGCCGTTGTCGATGTGTCCTCTTCTGTGCGGCTTTTGTTTTCAGACCAGAGACTCCCCAATCGCATTCGGGTTCTGTCCTCCCCGGTCGCTTCTTCCCAACATCGCACAGCCATCAATGGGATGACTCGGAACAGACAATGAATGGATGGGCTGGATACTACTCCGTACTTGACATGGCCTTCATTACAAGGGCTGCTACCAAGGTTCTTACCTTCCATTCGTGATGACTATTATCTTGTCTTCAAACATAACCTACACGGGCGATAATAATTTACCACCTATATTTCCGAGATTCTGGTGAATGCAAGTGACAGAGCCATCATAATTACGATAGAACCCGTTAACAACTTGAAATCTTGAAGCACCCGAATTTGAAGATCTAATCATAAGGGTGAGCCACCTCAATAACATACAGTAGCGAGGGCAGAAGGAGATGTTCTATAAGCTGCCATATCGTCCAACTCTGCTTATGGATATAACTCTCCATCCTAAGAAGCAAGCAGCCTCTCTTGCTTTATCAGTGCCGCCAGTAAGCTGATGTAACCTGCGGCATAGTAAGAACAAGAACAAGGTTCGGGCCAACGAGCGGGCCCGCCCTTCCGCACCCTCAACCACGGTTCTTCCATTCCTGTCAGCCACCTAAGTATATTCCTACCATGTTAGCAAGTTACCTGATATCCTCAATGGCAAGCTACTTTGAATGCTTGCGACTGCATCTATCGTAAAAATCAAATAACGGTATAGCCGCGTCGGACTTATTACTACCAGCAAGACGCGGATATCCATATGCAGGAAGCCGAAGTGTTGCATGTCAGGCTCCGTTTGGTTTCTTGTCTCCCCATTGTCAAGCACAGCATCATGCATCAGGTTTGTTTGCTACATCGCTGTTCTTATCCTGCCGTGACAACTCCATGTCTGTCCATGAAGCGGGGACAATCAGGCCTGTTGGCATTTGTCAACGTCAGCGGCTGCATCCCCTCCGGGTAACCTTCTCCAAGCCATCTTGCCAGGGTTGAGGTGGGAAATGTGACAGAATGTAGTGGGGCACATATTGCACAGCTAATATTATGGGCCTTGTGCGTGGACACAAGGGCTAGTCCGAGTACTCCTATCTCATATAAATGGAGTGGTAGCTTACTGTTCATCCCCTGACATGATTGGCCGTTTCGCTTCCCATAGACACTACGTAGTTCTTCAATTGGAATTCCAGGAGTATCAAGCGCGTAATCCATTTCATGTTCAACGTAGTCCATCATAATGAGAGGACTCAGTTTGAGGGGACACTATTTCTTTGTTCCCGAGTGATACACAAATGGTATAGGAAATGTTGTCTTGTCCTCGAGAAATCGCACGGTAGCAACCTCATTCATGACCTCCTCTTCCAGAAAAAAAAGGCAGCGCCGGGCTGCGATAGACGAATGATGGTAGCTTCATGTTCATCCTTTATTCGCAGCGAAATGTTATAAGAGCCTTTCTCGAGTATGCTTGAAATTAGTCCCCTTGCCTCCATTCTGATCAAGCATGAAATATCCGATCGGTCTTAAGATGTCATGATTGAGGAATTGAAGCAGCCAATTGTCTGATACTTCCTCGGCTTGTTCCCAGATCACATCGTCGAAATACATTCGGGGTTGCATATTTGGATCATTAGCCAATTGTGATAGTGGGGAAGAGTTCAAAATGAGAAATCATAAGTATGCTCAAGTTTCTTGCGGCATTAGCGTCCATGATGTATTTCAGGGGATGAAAGGAGCGGAGTAGAAGAAAGTTAACAAAGATGCGGGTGAGGCTTCCCACTGCAAACAGGATTGATCATATGCACGGTGCCGTTGCGGGATCCCTTAATGAACAGCACCATCATTTCTGAACAGTAACTCTCAATAGTACGCAGACATTGGAAGAAGCATACAACAATAATTTTTGACGCCAATCTGTTTACCTCGCCGTTGCTTTGACAGAAATACCCGGCCAGACGTTGGAAAGACAGGATCTGGAATAGCTCATCATTGCTAGGAGTAACCATCCCAATCATCATGAATATCGGGCGCAGCTTCCTAGATATCATCCCGCGAAAACCTCAATACCTCTGATAACCGCCTCTGCTGCAAACAATAGTAAGGTACTTTTGTGTGGACATCTATTGAGCCTTGTGCATTGCTTAACGGACCAGACCTTCCACGGTGATTTAGTCAAGTGCCTCAGCGATGCTCATTTCCGTCCTCGGGCCTATCAGATACAAGTTCTATTATAACGTTATCGGATTTCGGATACTTGTGGCGAGGATACAACCTCGGCGTTGCCAAGATACAAATAGAGGCCATAAGCCATCTCATATAGTTATAGCATGAGCGGACGATAGGAACAAATGGGAAGGAAATCATACTATGAACGTATCAAAAGGTCCGAGCTGGCATTCAAAACTTCGCCACTTGATCTATGGCACCTAGTGTGATCAACAAGCCGCTTTCTACTGAAGAGATTTTATGACCATCTACTGGGAATCTAGTGCTCTGGCCCTTGACGGATTATTTGGGTACTTCCAACCAATTGGTGGCCTACTAGTTTACCCGATGTAGTGTTAGGATGATATAGAGTACTAGTAGCAAGAAAGGAAGTGCCGGCTGCATGCACGGGCCATACCCGGGTGCTAGAAAAGCTTTCGCACCGCACTTTAAACTCGATTTTGTATTTATATCGTACTATCCGATAATTGAAGAGGACAATAGGCGTCCCAGGTACTTGTGACACACCTGATTATGTGGCTAAATAGCCGGCAGGTCTCTAGGTCACTGTATTGACCAGTAAGAGACAACGTCGCGGGATGTTCTGGTACTTTTATAATGCGATCTTTATACAGGGGAAACTGCGCACGAGTAACTTTATGAACAAGAGATTCCAGGAGCTCTCTGTAGTCTGTACACGCTTACACGTTGTCGATCGACGGACATTAAGTGGGGGCTGACCCATGAGCTAAGCGAAAAAGAGATCCTTTGCATCGTTGTTCATGCATCGCCGAGGACTTCCGGAAGTACAGAGAATTTTCTGAATCGCGTGCATCTGGGCTTACACCAGTAAACTGCGAAAAGTCCTTTGATCAGCCCACATTTCAGTCCCCACCCACGCGTGGATGGGATAGACGTCAAAACGTGCGAAGGCTCGAAACTCAGTCTTTCGTTCTATCCGCAGCTTAATCTGCATTCGATGCCCGCTAACAAGATACGAGTGGCGAAGATCGATCATCTTTGCTAGGGAGGAAATAGTCTTGAGTCTTGAGCTACTATCGTGACGACTACTTCCAAGGGGGAAAATTGGGAGAAGGCAGCCCAGTCTAATCTAATAGTACCACCTCAGCTAGTTGCAGCTCGCCACGAATCGGGAAGCGGGAAACCCCCCTCTCTTTAAAAAGGAACAAATCTGACAGCGAAGGAATCAGAAAGTCGGCCCCGATCGAACGTCATCCATCTCTCTCGATACACACGACCTTTTCGCTTGGGTTTGCCCCATTTTAACCTTAGGGGATATCTTTTTCCCCAGCTGTTTGATCTTCAACTTCGCTACGAGCTTCCCGAAAATTCGACCCCATGGCGGAATCCTTTTCCACCCCCGATTCTCAAGGGGCTGCCGCTAATGAACCCCCACAGCCCACCTCATCTTTGGCTTCGGCTCCACAAAATGTATCCCAGGGCGCTGCGCCCGTCGCAGGGCCTCATGATGGTGAATCTTCGGACTCAGTACGCTGCTTACCACTGATTGCCGACCTTCGCTTTCTCCAAGCGTCGGCTGACTTGGTCTCACCAGGACGAGGCAGAGCCTGAAGAAGAATTCTCGGACTACGCAGAGGATTTGTAAGTTTATCAATCGCCCTCACAATCGATCCCTTATGCTTACAGCGCTTAGCGCGAGCGATACAACATCCTTGAACTCTGAAATCACTTCATACCGATTTGAGAATGGACGACGCTACCACGCCTACAAAGAAGGGGCTTATTGGTATGACTATATCATCTAGTGGCTTCGGTGTGCGCACTATCCTAATCAATTTGCAGGGGACCTAATGACGAAACGCAAAATGAGCAACTAGATATTGCGTATGCTCCCTGGAATCGCTCTTGATGCGCAGGCTAATGCTGGTGTCAGTCATCATATGTTTACTTTGCTTCTCGATGGTAAACTACTACTTGCGCCAATCAGCGACAATATACAGGTATGTATACTGTAACACAACTACAACATTTACGATCGTGGCCAACGCTGAGGTCCCAACTTGACAGAGAGCGCTGGACGTCGGCACTGGCACTGGGATCTGGGCCATGTGAGTGAGAAACAAGTGTAAGATGGGCATATTTCAGCAATCTGACTTCTTATGAACAGCGACTTCGCAGACGAATACCCTTCAGCACAAGTCATTGGGACCGATCTGTCGCCCATACAGCCTGGTTTTGTCCCACCCAACCTACAATTTGAGATCGACGACGCGACGGAAGACTGGGTCTATCCGGAGAACCATTTCGATCTGATCCACGTTCGTGCACTGTATGGCGCGATCGCGGACTGGCCCGCATTCTATCAGAACGTTCTCAGGTGAGTCCCTCAATGAGATTCTTTGTTGCACGTTCCGGCCCTAATCCCTTTTCTAGTCGCTTGCGGCCTGGGGGCTGGTTTGACCAACTCGAGATGTCTATACAATTCCGATCGGATGATGGAACGGTGACAGACGATCATGTTCTGGCAATCTGGTCGAAGACCTTCATTGAGGCGGGCGAGAAGTTTGGCAAGACCTTTCGCATAGCGGATCTTGCTAAGGGCTATATGCAGCAGGCTGGATTCCACAACGTGACGGAACATCGAATGAAGTTGCCTGTCGGCCAGTGGAGTCGAGACAAGAAGCTGAAGAAACTTGGCATGTGGAACCTGGTTCATTGCGAGCAGGGTATTGAGGGATGGGCCATGGCGCTGCTGACCCGAGTCATGGGGGTAAGTCCACCTTTTCTCCATTTGCAATTCGATGGTATAGGACATAAGCATGCTTTCTTCTTTGGGGGTGTGTGTGTCTGAGAGCGTTATACCTCGTATCTGCGTTGCGCACCACCCACTCTTGGCAGCAGCCAGTCGGACACGGGCTGACAGGACAATCCTTACTGAATTTAGTGGAGCTATGCCGAAGTGCAGGTCTTCCTCGCCCAGATGCGAAAAGGCCTCCGTGATCCGAACACTCACGCATACTTCAACGTGTAAGACACTGTCGTGTTTAATGTTCTAGACTGGGCGAGCACGAAGCTAACTTAGGATTGTTCCCATCTGGGTTATAACAGGGTCGGGGTGTATGGACAAAAGCCTACAAGTGCCTATTAGAGTTTGGGGACGAAGTGCACTGCGGCACGGCTGACTGGAATAAGAACCGACAAAATGCATTGCGCAGCAGACTACTGCAAGCAGACAGGACTAGCCTGGCAGAGGTGTGCCAATCGGGGCTCGACGTCCCCCGTCATGAAAGGTCGGGGCGGCCGGGAATGCTTGGGTTTAATGTGGACTTGAGAGTTAGTGTCCTGCTGAAGATGCGCTACACGCGTCTTCGATTGGCCGTCGGGAGCTTGGATAGTGGAGGCGACCGGGGATGACGGCAGCCGGTGTAGCTGGAGAACATCCAATGATTGCAGTTCTACCCCAATTATGATTTTATGGTTCTGCACGGTTACCGGACAGTCCCTTGGGTGCACGAAAATGCTAACCATCGTCTGATGATGACGATATTATTTCCCCGAGTAGAGCAGTCTTAGTTAGGTGGCCTTCCTTGTTTCTCCCACAGTCTGCCTGGCTGGTCGCCTCGTGCATCCCATCCACCAGTGCTCTCTTTTCTGCAAACCTGCAACCATACACCGTAGGGGCATTGACATCCTGGGGATGGTCAGACGACGATCTTCCTGGAAGGCCGCAAAATAGCAGGATCAAATTCGAGCTCCACCCGGAAATAGGACCCATTGACCAGTCATGGCACGTCTATTGGGAACTTCTGCAGAAAGAACGGGACGCGGATTGACCTCCGACCCGCCCGGTCGGTTTCCATCGTACTATTGCATTCTCATTATGCTGAATGCCTCTCTTACCATTCTCGTCTTTTCGCCCCCTTGTCTCTGGTGTCATTGTCATCGCTCGCAGTGGGTCAGGCCCGGCCACTTGGACCACGCACACTGGTCGCGTACGCCGCTAATCCAACTAAAAACGACCGTTAGCAGTAACGGCCGAGTGTAATAGTCCACAGATAATTCGAGATGGGACCTTGGGATTGCTCAGCCCATGACAGGTCTGAAGAATGTCAATCCCTCGCCAGGAGCCTAGAATGACCCTCTCCGGGACATTCTGCAATCCTGCAGCCGGGAATTCGGACCAGACCACTGGGTCCATTGCTTTTTGCTGGCTGCACTGCAGAAGGCAACCGGAGGATGATGTATGACCTGTTGTCCCTACCTCATGTATGCTGAACGTATGCTGTGCTGGAGTGAGCCCATTTCTCGCACCGGAAGGGATTCCGAGGCGAGTGAGGATGCTTGGACCTGCCACAGAGAAGTCTATTGCCGAGGCCTGAGCAGCGCATGACTTGATGCCATCTTTCTTCTCCGTAGTCGTCCGTCTTGCTCGTCTTTCTATCCCAACTGACTGCTCACCCATTCCCATCCAGGCTAGCCCCCCTTGCGGGGTCTGCTCGTTCATTCCCGTATGAGGTAGGACCCTCTGATGATTGTCATCATTATTCAGGCTTGGTAAGACTCGTGTGGCATCGAAGGGTAATAGAGTTACTCATCCCCCGGTATCTTCCATTTAAAGCACTGGGAAGATCTCTCTGACAGGGGTGTTCACTCTTCTCCCTTCAGGGTCCTATGCGAGGCTCGATGCAGACCGTCTGCCCACCATGATTTCAGTCCATGTATTATTACTCACGGTGTCTGTCCTGTCCATCGTGCTTCTTCTGCGATGCATCTGGACGATCGCGTATCGACTGTTCTTCCACCCCCTGGCCCATCTACCGGGCCCACTTCTGGCTCGGGCCACGCATCTGTATGCCTTTTGGTACAATATGCAAGGTGGATCCTTCTATCTCCAGGTTCAGAAGCTGCATGAGCAATATGGTATGTTCACTGTGTCATGTGATACGGTTGATTCTCTCCTGTTCGCGCAACAGTTATTCACGTAGCCTAGGCCCCGTTGTCCGCATCACACCTGACGAGATCCACCTCAGCGACCCTGAAAATTGCGAGAAGATCTACTACATAGGGTCACGGTATGGCAAGGATCCTCAATTCTATGGCGCGTTCGGCACCCACAAGGCGACCTTTACGGCACCAAGCCCCGACGTACATCGAGTCAAGCGATCGGCCTTGAACCCCTTCTTTTCGCGCAAAAAGGTGCTTGAACTGGAGGATATCGTGCAGGACAAGGCAGATAAGCTGGTCAGGCGCATGAGGGAGTCTTTCAGCTCGACGGGCTGTATTGACCTGCATCATGCCTTTCGAGCTATCTCCGTGGATGTCATCAGTGACTACGCCTTTGGAAATTGTTACGGCTTTCTCGGTAAAAAGAACTTCGGGGCTGAGTTCTTTGAGATGATCCGAGGTTTTGGTCCGGCATTTTGGTTTTTTCAACAATTTCCGGCTATACAGGGGCTTTCGCTTGGCACGCCATTCTGGCTGGCTAAGTTGACAAGTGAGCCCTTGACGAGGATGATGCTGCATCGTGAAGTTTGTCATTCGTCTCTGGTTTGTCTCCACTGGCTGACGTCTTCTAGGGTTCTCGTCGCCAAATATTGAAAGTGAAGGACGCTGTCGATCGGGGTGAGAAAGGGAGCCGGACAACTATCTTTCACCAGCTTCTTCACCCAGAGGCTGCCGAAGGTCATGTGGTGCCTACGGTGGAGGAGCTGGAAGATGAGGCCTATATCATGCTGGCTGCAGCCGCAGACACAACCGGAAATGCGTTGACCATTGCTGCCTACAACGTTGTGCGAAATGCCAAAATCTATAAGCGCTTAACGGAAGAGCTGAAGCAGGCGTTCCCTGATTCAGAAGCGCAAATTGACTTTGTGGCTTTGGAGAGGTTGCCATACTTGGTATGCTTCTGAATTACTCCCATTGAGATAACCATGAGCTAACGTTGAAAGACCGCTGTTATTAAGGAGGCTCTAAGGTGATTCCATGTCATTCCAAAGGGACCAGAAAAACCATTCGCTCACTTGTATACAGGTTATCGTGTGGAGTTCCTGGTAGACTTCCTCGAGTCGTCCCTGACGTCGGCGCTGAGTTCAATGGCTATCATGTTCCTCCTGGGGTATGCAACAAGCATGGCACCATCATTGTCAACTTCGCTAACATATATCTAGACTATTGTTAGCATGAGCTCGTGGACAATGCATCATAACGAAGAGCTTTTCCCCAAGTCGGAAACATTCGACCCAAACCGATGGACTGATCCAGTAATGAGCAAGTCTCTCGAGAAGTACTTGTTTTCTTTCGGCAAGGGGTCTAGACAATGTATCGGGATGCCGTATGTCACCTCACTTGTGAAATTGAGCTGTACTGACTTCTGTAGGCTTGCGTACTGCGAGCTGTATGTGACTCTTGGTCGACTTTTCCGGCAGTTTGACGACTTGAAAACGGCTCAGAAGAGTCGGGAGGAGCTACGATATAACGACTATTTCTCATCCTATCATCCAGCGGAGTACAACAAATTCATTTTCGAGAAGGCAAGCTGAGGACCTTAGTTTTTCCTGTGCCTTGCTCTTTTCATTTCTCCTTATGTTTTGATGATACCACAGCGTCATGGCTCAACCAGTATCCATAGTAATGACATCCCAACAATTTAAAGCCACGCATAGCATTCTCAATCTCCCACAAACACCGAAAAAACATTCAATTCAGCCTCGAGGAGTAGAAAACGAGTCCTGAAACCGGTGATAGTCCAAGTGAATAAAAATATCAAATGGAGTCACCCCCACTTCAGCCCACAAGCCTGCTGAAGTAGAACACTTCCTTGGCTCTCTACATCCCCTCCTTCTTCTTTTTCCATTTTCTTCCTTCTCGCTCCCTCAACCACAAATTCTCTACCTACCTTACTTTATCGCTTTCTATCTGTTTCTTCTCTTACTATACTATAATCCTCTACTCTCCCTCTACCCCCTTCACACGTCACAAGGAATCTCAAGTTCACCGCATCGAAGCCATCAAAATGCCCATGACATGGAACGAAACCACTGATGCCAGAGTACGTCCACTCCACCCTCCTCTCCCCCAAATGCAGCCCAACACAACCTAACACATCCCCTCCCAGCTCCTGGTCGGCATTTTGACCACTACAAACGTGAAACTCGATATGCACGCCTTAGCCAAATTTATGGGACCCGGTATGTCTTCCCCCCTCTTCCCCCCAAACCATCCACCCATCAATCCATAATAAATACCGACACTAACACACCCAACCAGGCTGCACCGTCTCCGCCGTCCAGCACCGTATCCAGCGCCTCAAGGACAAAGTCGCTGTTGCCCCCACCAGCACTTCCACTACTCCCGGCGGCACCGCTTCTTCCCCGGGCACTACCACTACCATGACGTCTCCCGGCAATGAGACTCCCACCAACTCCACCCCTGCTACACCTGAGAAGAGAAAGCGTGGTCGGCCCCGCAAGAACCCCGTTGCTGGGGGTGGTGAAGCTAGTACTACTCCCGCGGCTGCTCCTGCTGCTTCGACTGCTAAGAAGCCGAAGGCTAAGCGGGCTAAGAAGGCTGCTACTGCTGCTGCGATTGTTAAGAAGGAGGATTCTAGTGATGATGAGCTTTCCGAACCTGGTGTTCCTGAGACTCCTGAGGCTGGTAGTGAGGGGGTCGAGGAGAGTCCTATTGTGAAGGGTGAGGATGAATCTTGATTGCGGTGTTCTTTTCCCTCACTTGTGGCTCTTTTCTTTCTATTAATGGGTTGTAGTCAATTGCATGGATTGGTTGGTTTGGGAGTTGATGGTTAGTTAACTTGCTCATATTAAGGATCGTGGTCATTTGTTTTCTTTTACTTTTGCTGGATGCTGGTTGCTTGGGATGGAAAGGGCGTTGAGTTGGGTGATGTTTCTACCTTAGGATAAGTCGTATCCGGTCTATTGCAATGGAGCTGAGCTTTTCATTTACAAGTTTTATCTTGAATTGGGTATTAGGGTGCTTAAAGTACATGGTATGAGAAGCATAATCACTGCAACACCATAATCAACCTATTCTTCCAGCCCATCCACGCATCAGATCATATCATCATCAAGAACCTAGGAAAAGACTAAGCATCGTACAAATCACCATCATCAAACTCTTCACCACTATCAACTCCCGCCCCCTCTCCCTCCCCCTTCGGCATATACTCACTCGCCGAGCTCTCCCCCTCCCCGTCATCCTCTTCATCCTTCCACTCCACCATTCCAGGCGCAAGCGAACTGGCCTTCCGGACACGCTTCACGGGGGCCACATCCGCCTCGCTTTCCAAATCAATCACCTCCTTCTTCAGCTGAGCAGAGGACCTCGCGCTCACACCCTTCCCCTTCACGGTCTTGCTAGGCGTCTCCAACCCAATTTCAATCTCAGTATCACTACCACCATCCCCCTTCACCTTGATAGGGGTAGGCGTATACTCCCCCTCTTCTCTATCCTCATCGAGATCATCATCGTCATCGCGCTTTCTCTTCAAAGAAAATCCTTTCCTGGCATTACTGATGCGCAGCGTCTGAGGAGTAGAGACAGAAGCAGGGCTGGAGGCGACATTGGTGGTTGATTTGGCCATTGGACTGCCGTTCTTGAGCCCCTTTCCGATGGAGAAGTGACCGTTTTCGCCGCTGGACTCGCGGGCAGTGTTGCGCATGCGAACGAGGCGTTCGGAGATGGCGCGGGGGGTGGGCATATCCGGGCCGAGGGATTTAGCTGGTTTGTTGATGTTAGTTTGTGCTTGCTTGGTAGGAAGGTATTGTGGGTAGTTGAGGGGTAGAGGGTAGAGAAGACTTACGCCATGCTTCGGCTACGCGTTTGGCGTCGACGGAGAGGGAGTGGGTTTCGAGGATTTTGAGGAGGAGCTGGGTATGTGGGTTAGTTGTTTGGTTGTTGTTGTTGTTGGTAGGTAGGGTGGGTAGGATGGTGGGGGGTGTAGTGTTAGGTTAGGTTTGGGGAGGGTTTGGTGTGGTGTGGCGTGGTGGGTTGAGTAGGTAGTTGAAATAGTATAGATGGTGTAGGTTATGTAGATCATATAGGCTGTGTGCGCAGCGTGTAAAAGTGCACGCAGTGTAGATACGCGGTGGTGTTGTGTAGGAAGAGACATACCAGTTGGTCTTTCTCAGGAGTCCACTTCATGGTTGCTTCTTCCTCGTGCAGATAAGGTTCGAAGTATGTACTGTACAGAGAAGCTGCGATGTTTCTTGCAAAAGTAGAATAGAGAAGGTGTTGTAGTAGAGAGACCTATTCGCAAAAACAGAATGAGTATAGAAGAAAGAGGAAGGTCAAGAGAAGGAAGGGAACTTGACAAGAGAAAAGAACAGTCTACAAGAAATGGAAGGAGTAGAAAGCAGCTCAGAGTATGTGAAAATATATTTCTTTCTGTGTTCACTGCTCTATAGTGAATAGCTGTTGTTCCTACAGTCACTGGCGATCCCGAAGCGACGTTGCCCAAGAACCTGATCATGAATCTGTTACTTGCTGTCTACTGTAGAGATGTCGATGGTGTCTTCAGCACCGATAGCTGTCAGGTTCTATCTGGTGTATGCTACGCACTTGACTTCACGAAGAATCCTGTATGTATGCTAGAACCGGTGATGCAGATCTCCTGTCAGTCTGGACAGACGATCCCTGTCATCGGGGCGGATGTTCCTGCATGTGCTTACCCACTTGGCAATTTCCCTGGCTGCAGCGGATATGGCATGGTTACTTCCCCGAAAACCCGGCTGTGGATCAGATGCAGATTTGTTTCAGAGCAAAATCTGTTCTATCGACTGTTCCAAATGACTGATCTGATTTGGTGCTGTAGTGGGGATTTTGTGTAGCCAGTGGGCTTCCCTTCCCCTCTTGTGGAATCTACACATCAACTCCATGGGCAGCGAACAGATTCCTTCTCAGCCGGACCAAGTCATTTCCCTCTTCTGTCCACAGATTCTTGTGGAATGCTCCACAGTCTTCCACAGAAAATGACAGAGAGGTACTTCTCCCTTCTCTTGAATCTGTGGAATATAGCCTGTCAGCTCAATAAAAGTCAAGTCACTAATTCTCAGAGTCTGTGTAGTCCGCAAGCCAGATTTCTAACCTGTCGCTCAGTCACCTGTTTGAATGACTGCCATTGCTGTGGTCCCAAGAGTGGCGGGCCATCATGCCTTGACATTCACTGAATGTCTGGAGACTCAATGTGTGTGTTACTTTCACACAGTCTCCGGCATCGTTTTGCTAAGTTCTCTTTTGCTTCGCACAAAAGGTCTAATCTAATCATCTTATACTTGTTCATCTCTGAATATTTGCAATCGAAGTCTTCACGCAAAGCAACAAAGAAAACACAATGGTTAATTGGAAACAGCCCGAGTCGGCCGACCGTCTCTTTGCAGCTCTCATAGTAGCCCACCCAAGCCTAAAGGTACGATACCTCCATCCTTAACTACTGTATTCCACTAACGCACCACCCAGCTGGATTACCATGCCATAGCCACCTACTTCGGTCAAGAAGCAACGTACGATGCAATTCAGAACCGTCTGCGGCGATGTCACGCTCTCGCTGAGCAACTCAGACAAGAGGCCTTTGACCGAGGAATAACGGACGTCCCTAGTGCAAAAGGACGAAAATCTACTACCGGCAGCATTGCCTCTCCTGCACCACGAACACCCCGTGTGGGCCGCAACGGAATCCAGAAACCTGTCACTTCTTCCTCGTCCCGAAGGAGACTCGCTCCCAGAGCACCTGCCAACTTGATAACGCCAACCCGAAGCGGAGCCGGTTCAAGCAAAGCAGGGCAGTCTATCATGGATGCAATCTCTCTTGAAGATGACATGCTCGCTGATGAGGAGACCGATATTAAGCCTACTGTCAAAGCGGAGTCTAGGTCTGCACAAGTCTCGACAACAGCAGGTCCTGCTTCTGACGGAAGCGATGTCGAGATCATTGAAGTACCTCCTTCGCCTCCGGCACATACGACGAGTAAGGTCGAGGACATTTATGACTCCATATCTGTCTTTCCTTCGTATCGCAGCTACAGCTTCAACAATGGGAACGGCTCGAATGTCAAAAGAGAGCGCGGACAGAGTCGTTTCATGGACTTCGACGATACGCCTGTTAAAAATACGAATCCTACTCCAGCCTCTAACGCCTTCAGCAGCAGTAGAAGCAACAACGACACCAGTCTCGGTCTATCCGGTATAGGTGGCTTCACTCATGGCAGTAGCTCGAGTTATGACATGGACGATCCGTGGGGAGCAGTTGCATGATGACTGGGGTTAGAATAGTATATCCCCATATTTATTGTTTCTGGAAGAAGTCTACCCACATTTGTGTTTGCATAATCCATTTAGTTTTCTTTGGTTTCGGTTCAAGAATTTTTTTTTTTTTTTCATGGCAAGGCATGTTCTATACTCTTTTCTACTGTTACTATTATAATATACTCTCTCAGTTGACTACCGTGCCTGACCTATAGTCCTTCAATGCACGTGGGTAATATCCAATGTCCATTCTGTTCAGTCGCTCCTCACACATTCTTACTATCCAACTTCATATATATTGTTGGTGCACCTAAAGTTAGACAAACTACACCCTACCCCACTATAGTCCATAGACTATAATAGTTTGTCAGGTCATTTAGCGCATCTACAGGTAAATATATACATATGATACTAATATTTGTATAATGTTGTGATAGCCTCCTAGTATGTACGGATTACGTAACTAAGCAGAACTGGGATGGATGTGCCTGGACGAAACAAGCCGCCGGTCAAATTCGTATCGATCTGATGCTCTAGAATTGTTTTAATGAAAGAGAAGGAAAGAAATGAAAATGACATAAAAGTGTGTGCTCCCTCAGGCTAGTTTGTAGATAGCATAAACGAATCTATCGATAATGCCCTGGCCACGGAGAACTGGGGCAGGAACCAACCACTTTATGCTAATCACCTCCAAATACGGATTAACTGACTACAGAATCAATGTCTATCCACTCTCTCCGTGAACAAAACACCTCGCTTTTGAATTTATTATCACATACTGCAGTGACAAATGACTTGACGCTAAGCTCAAAATCAAAAGACCCACGGCCCCACACTTACAGCCGAGCCGGCCGGGGCTTCAAGTCTGAGGTAAACACAACGTGATTGCTCAAGGCGAGAAGATTGCCCCTCTCATCTAATAGTTGCAAAGCAGCATCATACCGGCCATTGGAGACCTTGTTGGAGTTGGAGCGGACCATGACCCAGTCGGTGGACGGGTCGGGCCGTCTTTTGAACTCGATCGACAGACACAGGGTGGAGATCGCATATTTAGCGTAGAAATCCGGAATATGGGTCGCTGGTGGCTGCAGGGGCTTACCGCACGCGGCGTATTAGCACAAGCAGAAGTATGTTGGGAAGAACCGCGACTTACCAGGTCTGAAAGATACGCCAGATGTAACACGTCAGATAGTTTGGAGCCGTCGCGGAAGGACAGCCAGACCTCGCGGTTGTGGCCGCCGAGGCGGTGGCCCCAGAGTCCCTGTGGAGATCGTGGGGCGACCCAATTCATCTTCGCGGTCACAGGAGTTGAGCTGACGACGGGGTCGTCGATAGTAACGCATTCAGTGAGCCGGTCGGGGGGTGGCCGAGTGATGACCGGCCGCGTTTCCTGTGATAGGCCATTTTCTTTGCTAATATCGCCGTATGTGAAGATACCGAGAGTAGTAGTTGGATAGGAGTTTGAGTCCTCTCCCGGCTTAGAGGCACGCGCTAGTTCAACTTGTAGGACGGATTGTTTCTTGGACACTCGTAGAAGCGTGCATGTAATAATTGACGGGCCAGGATGAACCATGTGTAGAAACTGGACGAACGCATGAACGGGGTCAGGATACCGGCCTACGCCAAGTTCCTGGTCAAGGAACCTTTGACCGGCGGCCAGCATAAGCGCAGTGGAAAACCCCCCAAGGACAGAGCTGCTCTGGTCAACTCAGCCCGTCGAGTGATGAAGCAAGGATGCGGCGGTCAAACAGACATACTGTTGGGTACACCAGTCCCGTGTAATCTTCACGGCATATTGGTTCCGTGTCCCCGGGACGGAGGACAAAGAGGAGACCACATCCAGCAGGTTGGGTCGGGCTCGTGATGACATCCTTGCTCGGATGCACGTATAGCCGTCAAGTAGTATATATATATAGAGAGAGAGGGATTGTTTGGTCGGAGAGTGATAAAGGGGATAGGGGATTTGGGGAGAATTTCAATGCTTGGCTTGCGAGGACAGGCACGAGGGGTGGGAGACCCTTTTTGACCTGAACGTTGCTCCACGTAAGGGATCAGAAGAGTCTGGATTACCCCACAGGGCGAATGACATGGACGAAGCACTCACGGTAGGTTCACATGTCCCAGATGTACCACCTTAAACGCACGCGGATTTGACAAATCACGGCCCATGGCGGAGAGGCAGCCATGGGTTCGCGCAACGCACTAACGAAGATCATCGGCTGAAGTCTGAACCTCAATAATTAATTTCCCGGGCACTAAGCACTAGTTTGTCCATAGCAGGAGGGTAGCGAAAAAAAGGATCTGCCCGCCGAAGCCGAAGCAATCCAGGGCAGCCTAGCATAGCTCATAGCTCATAGCTCCCAACACGATGAGTGGAAAGAATGCATGAGGGAGCGCGTCGGCTGAACGGATCCGTCGAGCGGGAACGGGCGGGTAACTCTTCCGAGGGACATCAGTGCGGAGAGGCACTATGTAGTTGGTTAGAGAGTGAGACAAGCCGAGGTTGAAGTGTACAGCAGATGGGAAAGTGTGAAAGGTGAAGGAGGAAGAGGGGGAAGAGGTCGAAGGAGGAGAGGGGATGAGATGCCATTTGAAACTTGCCTTTTTTTAATTCCCATTTTGATTTTTCTTTTTTTACTTTTTCCCTTCCCAAGATGGACATCAAGAGCAGATCACGAGGCGATCTCCCGATGCGGTAATATGATACGCGGAGCCGACCAAAGTACTCCGTCGGCTTTAACCATTTTGGTGCTTCTCCTTTTCTTATTCGTGATTATCCCCATCTTTTTTGTCGGGAGCAAGAATTGCATCTTGTGCAATTGCCTGTATAGAAGCATTTAAACCCGGACTGCTTCCTCTCGACTGATTCAAGAAGAAAAGGTGGGTTCCAGGGGATAAAACCCAACCGGCATCATGCGATGGATCAGGGAATCGTTTGTACCCAACTGCCGATCACGTGGGCTGACGCGGACGCGGTGCGGGCGTCGCCTTAATCATTTTGCCTTCGCTCTTCCTCCTTCCGGTTCCCTTTTTCGGTTTTTGCCTCTTTTTTCGCCCGCATCCTCACTTTTTTATCTTCACTCTCCCCCCTCTATATCTTCTCCTCTCCATCCCCCCCCTCCTCCATCTCCTTCTCCTTTCCCTTTCTACAAGAGGTCTCTTTGGGCGCTGCTGGACTTCTTCGTTCGCTCGTTTCCACGAGGATCCGGCAACCCCCCAACCCCGCCGCCCGTTGAGCCATGAACCATCCTGCTACCACCACCCTTTTCACTCCCAACCCCATGCGGCCCGATCATGATCAATGGGGTAGCACACCACAATCTCCGAACAACCCCTCCCCGTCTGCCTCCAAAGCAGCCCTTATCGCCATTCACCAGCCGTCGGCATCGTTGGATCAATCTACCCCGATAGAGTCCCTTCCTTTCGCCGGCCGCGGGAGACAACTCAGCGTCCCCGAGCAAGTATGCCTGGTCAATCTGTGTGCGGCTGCCATGAACGATGATGATGCGCATAACCATCCGAAATCTTTCTGGATCAAGATCTCCAACAAACTTGAATTGCAGACTGGCCGCCGCTATTCCTGGCAGTCATGCCGCCGCCGGATCCAAACCTACATCTCCAAACGAAAGGCTCACTGGGAGGCGTATGCGAACGGTGATCCGTATCCGGGCGTAGATATCGATGCTGAAGTTTGGGACCTACTGACTTCTTGGTTGGCCAAATACAACACACCTCGGGATGTGACAGTCAAAGTGCCCCCTGAGGCCCCTGCTGCACTACCTACTCGAGTAGAACCCCCGCAGGTTCTGGAGCCCGTCCGGGTCGTGCCCGAGCAGGGGTTGGTACAGGTCTCGACGAAAATCGAGCGGGTTTGGGTCTGGCTGGACAGTCTCCCGCACGTGGAGGATATGGAGTCCATGAGAACATGGACGGGGTATGTCGATGCTCTGGCGGACTGGATGTCTCGCTCGAAAGTCCGGCGGGAGCGTCGATTTGTCTTCCAGAAAACCAAAACTGGCGAAGAGCAGCCTGAGTTTGGTGCGGACGGAAATCCGGACCCGGCTCTGGCTTATCTTCCCCAACCACCTCATCAGCCCTCTCTTGCGCTACACGATCCCTTACCAGGGAACAAAAGGCCTCGCGAAATCGACGATTCCTTTGCTGAGCGTCCTGCCCAGCGTATCCGTGTAGACCCTGGGAGCCACCCTTCCGGCACTCCTTATGCCGAAGAACAGGTCGACAACGCTCACCTGAAAAGGAAGCTTGTCGAGTCTTACTTTGAAAGTACCTTCGGCAAATTGATTGACCGGTTATCTGCTCGATTCCGGGCCCAGGGTGCCAAACAGCAGGACGCCCCTGGGAGCTGCGAAGCGATAATGCGCGATCTCTTCAAAGATGTCGGAGTGGCGGTTGCAAAAGCGTTAGTCCGAATGGATGAGCCTGCAGTTCAAGATCAATACCCGAAATGATTCGAGCACATATTTCAGCATTTAGCGAGTTTTTCTGCACATTGATTTTTACGCATCTACTTAATGCTTTATGGGTGGTCCTGTCATTTTTTGAGTTTGCATTTTCTACTTGTGTGACTTGGAACGTTTGCTCTGCACGTTTGCATCATTTATGTCTATTCATATCTTCTTTGTTCTCATGAGCAGCTGATTGCCCTAGAGATACCCTTTGCATTTGGAGCCCGGATGTCATGTCTTATGTCGGTTTATTGTTTGAGGTTACCTTACTTGAGTGAGCATATTTGCATCTTTGTTATTTATTGTTATTGCACATATAGCATACATAGGATGAATAGAATGGACAAAAATTTGCTTTTTCTCTTTGATTATGCATCCTATTATAGCATCCAAGAAGGGTCATCAACATCTGTATGCCACTAAGTATACCCCACGCTCTAAGCCCCACAGCGATGCCACAGTCCTTCAATTGTCCACCTTTGTCAGATCAAGGCAAGATGGTGTGTCATCTCTCGATGCACGCCCTCATCTCTCACATTTACATGGAAGCCATCCGTATCAGCCTGGATTCTCAATGGTACATCTATTTATGCACCTTTCAAACAATATATGGTATACACGTGTGCGGCGGTATCTGTCTATACTATCGATCTACTTCTGAAGATAACTTCTTGGCTCCTATGATTGTCCACTCCAACTCCAACGATGAGTCCCGCCGAGTGTCGAAATGTCTACACAAACTTGTTCGAGGAGAAGACATACCGAGCACGACTCCTCTCACTGCTTTCTCGAGACGAGTGCGCTGCTCTACAAGACGCCTATCTGACGTCCCTTCCGAGTGATACCTGTAAGAGGAATCATCGGTACCGGAGTAAGGTGACTGAATTGCCTGTGTATATTGTATGTTTTTGTGGGGAATGAGCTCTGGGGCAGAGAAGATATTCCTGAGTTGAACCAAGCGGTGGTGTTTGGACATACCCTACTCCATTATGGCGCAGACAAGGGGCTGGGAGGAGAGGGCGCGCCGCGTGTATCAAACCCGGCGTTATATTTACGTTTCGGGCGTGGCTACTCAGTTTTATTGGAAATGGGGACTAATAGCACTTTCATTGGTCGCAGCTTGTGGGTGTGGTTCATGGTATTCTTTGCTGTCAGTTAGCCAGAATACAATTACCCAGGACCTTGCCATGGAATGCCCGGGGCCATTCCGGCAGCACAATTTCAAGTGATGCCATGGTATGATGCCTAGTAGGGCAGCTGATATGGTTGCCGGCGTTGAAGGAGACTTGAACAACTCGTTCCGCAAAGGCTTGACGTCGCTCTGTGATCCTCCGGGGGTGCAACTCCCCCGTGGGTACGAAGATCTAAGGTCTTACATCAAGGGTATTGCGGCTTTCTATGCCTGCTCAGTCATGACAGGGCCAGGCCAGGCCGTGGAGGATGATATGGTGGGGGAAAATATAGCCATGCACCAGAGCGAAACGCGTCTGCAGCCTTGCCCGTCCGGAAAGCATGCGTTGGCAGCATTGCACAGGTGAGATGTCAAATCACACACCTGCTTGTATGGTGTGCCGTCAATCAACGTTCCAAAAATCCGAGGACTCTGGCCAAGAAGTCGAAGGGTCGGAGGGAATTCAGGGGGCTAGTGTGCAAGCCAATTGGTATTGTGAAATGAATGATGACAGCTCTGAATGTTGCGAAGAAGCCAGTGTCAGTGTCATAAATTAACAGTCCTGGGAAGGCTCGGGCCAATATTGGGTATATCGGGTAGAGCTTTGGGGTTAGCACAAGAAGGTTCTCCAATTTTCGACTGCTCCAATGAAACTTTGGAGGAAGGAGGGGGAAAGGCATACACAGTAGCCTAGCAAGGATCCTGGCATTGAACTGAAACAAACTTACTTGACTTAGTTACTGCACCGAAGCAGCGCTGAGAGAAGTGGACCGAACCACTCACTACTAGCGTCTGAGCTTTCTAGCCTAAGTAGCATCGTACCACATCTCAGCTTGTGGCACCGTGGAGTGCATATCCCCATGGGGAGACGCGGAGGAGAGCACCAGAACGTAACATTAACAATCAGATAACGTCGATCATGAGCCGAAGATTATTGAAGCCTGGATTGTGGAGAGGGGAGATTGATGCTGCACAGCAGTGCTGTGGAAGGAGTAGTACGTAGTTGCGAGAGGAAGTCAGGCTGTGGGGAGTCGGCGTGGGGACGGCAGCGGCAAGCGATGGGGATGTGGGTGTTTTGAGTGAGGCCACCGGTGGGTGATGGGGACGAACTGCCAGACGGATCAGGCAACTGCGGTCTGCAGCGCAACTTTACACGGTTATGGTCTGATTGACTGGTCCTTCTATGCACAGTTCTAGTGGGGATACAGTTGTCTCTAAGGAAGATTGGACCCGATAGCCAGGCTCCTTCCCACGTAAAGCCCCCGGTTATCTATATACGACCTAAGTCACAACCCAAACCTCTATGTAGCCGTATGATCAGATGGTCACCAGGACCTAACGCCAAAAATGCTAGACAAGAAAGAAAACACGCTGTATATGCGAACCAGTTACCACCTAGTGGCAAAGAGTAATCCACTGATCAATAATTTCCTCCATGTCATGTGCAATGCCCCATTGGGAGAACATGCAGCGGAACAATTTCTGCAGCGAGTTCATCTCGTACAACAGATTGCGCACCGCTCCCATGCCAGGGGGGGAGTCAGTACGTCCCTCTTCAACAAAGCGCCGTGTTTCAGAGCCAGTCGAGGGGCGAATGTTCTCGCAGCCAAGGTTCAAATCAGCGCGCGAAAGAAGGGCATCCTGCCAGACTATCGTGCGTGGAAGATGGATATTTGCCACACCAGCGAGGGAGAAGACAACGTATATCGTTGTAGCCGAGAACAAAGAGCTTGGCATGTGGATGACATGGGCCCTGCCTCTGGGTAGTTGTTCGACAATGTCTTGGATTGCAATAGCGTGCAGTAAAGCACGACGAGCGTCCTCGGTATTGACCCATTTGGCCATGTCGAATCCTGGCTTGATGGTCCGAGAACCTCCGGAAACATGCTGAGTGATGTCATATCGAGAACAAACATGCCTGCAGAGGACCGTGGAGTTGATCATGGTGTCGAGACATATCGTATGCCAACGCAGAAGAACCTCAAGACGTTCTGGTGCAGAGAGATGGATACTCATAGTAATAGTCTCATGCACTTGAGCCAATGCTCTCCGGACGTCAGAACGGCCGGGAACCCCCACGGCAGCAAGATCTCTTTCGTCTGAATCCGAAACAAGAGACTGGAGACCTTCTAGGACAACGCGTAATGCAAAGGCAGAAAATTGGAAGTCTAGAGGCCGAAAGCTCCCAATGGGAGGGAAAAGGGAGCGGAACACCAACCGGAAGGATGGTTGCTCCACCTTCTGAGCGCGCATGATAGCAATCCATTCATCGACATTACCGGCATCGAAGGCAGCTTCGCTGCTGGGAAGATGCAGAGGGTTGGCAACATGCCGGGTAGATGCACTGTCACCCGACATCTGCGCAACGAGGCCATCTAATATATGATAAGCGAGTAACGCGCGTTGTTGTATCTCTCGAGCTGCCCATGTGCGCCACTTGTATTCCTTTTCCGTGCTGGGGGCGTTTGGATAAGGCACATTTTCAATTGGAAAAGGGTCGGCATCCAGCATCCCACAGTGTCTTGCCCAAAGAAAGCCGAGCGGATGGAAGACTTGACTTGTCGTGCGGATAACCCGGTTCTATAATAGGAAACCGGTTAGTATTGATGGGGAGAGTGAACCTCGCAAGTCTATCTCACCTTAGACAAAGCACCGTATATCTGGCCAAGAAGAGCTGTAATGAGGAGCTGCACACCCTTGCAGGCGTCATGAGGGCCTCGATGTGTGATCATTGATTGCCACTAGACCAATGTAAGCATAGCTGTACCAGAGCGAGCGTCTACCGTACTTACAGAGGTTGCAATAGCAGTATGTGCCAAGCGCCATAAAGCCTCTCCCTTGGCTACAGAATCTTTCGGGCCCAAGTATAACGATCCCAATGCCATAGCATTGAGAAGGAGGGGATGGGTACACTCGCGAAACACGAAAGTTGCTCGATGTAGGACTGGGAACGTGGGGATGAACCGCACGAAGAACATGTGCAGACATTCATCTAAAAAGACTGATGTTATCGATGTCGCTTTGATTGCAGCTGTAACACTTGACGACTAGTAATTTTGAGAGTATCAGTAACGGGTACTTAGACTAAGAAGCCTGGGGAACACCCACCGAACTTGTCACCATCTCGGTAACGTCCCGCACGGCCTGGTGGCTTCCACCTGAGGGAATAGTGCCTATTGACGACCCTCTGTCGTCAAACGAATTCGGTGACCCGAAATTCATCCCATTAACATCTTGTACCACTGGCGGGAAGGGTAAAGCCCCTAATGGCATTTGCCATTGGTCGGTGGCATCGGATGACATGATACTTTGGAATAGGTTCTCAGAGTCAGGCCAAATCAGGGAGAAATCGAGATCGGAGGCTGCATGTTGCAGGCCCGGATGCTGCTCAGACTGGGACGTCTCCCATGCCTGATTAGATGCAGAGGTAGGAACTATGGGTGGCGCGGGGGCGCGACTGGCATCCCAGGGCAGAGCATCCAAAGATGTCGTCTGCGGAGGAACGTGTACGGATGATTGCTGCACTTGGGCCTGTTTGGCATTGGCCGCGCGGGTGTGAAGCTTTTCATGACGGGTCAGAGCGTCCTGGCGGGCAAAAGGTCGCCGACATTCTTTGCAAATGAATGGCTTCGATCCCGTATCTTAGGCGCGGCAAGTTAGCCATCATGACTTGCATTAATGACCTCCCACAATTCATTAGGGCGGAATGCAGTGGCGATCATGCCTGCTCAAGCAGAAAGAAATTCAACAATGGCGGTATGCTTACGGCAACGTTCATGTCTCTACAAGCCAGCATTAGTGATGTCTCCACACCGTGGGATTGGCACTAGGGGCAAGTTACCCTCAAATGTTCTGCCTTAGAAAAGCCCTTTTGACAAACACGGCAGATCAGTGTCTTGACCGCCGATGTGGTGGTGGTGGTAGGGGATGATGTGGTGGTTTGTGGCATGGCGACTAAAGAAGCCATAAAAATAGATAAATCTAGATCAAGTTGATTCCAACTAACAATGACATACAACCCATCCACGTTACCCAGCCAGCAAGATAGTCCAAGCAAGGGCCAGCCAGCTAGCCAGTCGCCACGATAAAGTGGTGATAAGGAGGGATAAGCCAAATAAGATACAGACTGGGGGCGAGAGGGGGGGGGGATTTCGTGGAGAAGCAGGAAACTAAGCGGGTGGTTTTGTGTCAACAATGGGGGAGAGGAGAAGCCGGCCTGAATTGTGGGGCAGAAAAAGCAGTGGCAACGCTGTTGCCTTGGCTCTTGGCACGTGGACGTCACAGAACCGTATCGGTACACGGCGGCCGGGGTTATTTGCTTTGTAAAAGCGCTAAAGTCTGTGAGTTCTTTACGTGTCACACCCCGGCACTTGTTAGCGGCTCTGGGAGACGTACTGGAGTTGAAAGGCCGAGTCGTTAAACTCCACTCAAACTCGCTCTCTACTCCAGACCCCGTGTCTAGTGTCTACGTATATAGTGTGGGTACTTTAGCACCCACCTGATCTTGACTCGCAGTAGCACCCTGTAGTCCCTAGTAGACTAGTAGTACGAGACGCGTCCTAAACCTCCTTTCCCACAAACTGACTGATCACACCTTGTTTCCCTGCCCCTGACATCTGCATAGAGCAGATGCAAGTTTGTAGGGCGTATTATGAGGTACTAGTGTTGAATAGCCCACACTCCCCCCAGGCAGACATAAAAATCAATGCCTGGTTACACAGTGATTTCATCATCACACGCTGAGATCTGCCCGAGCAGTTATCGTCCGCAGATAGTTAGCTTGACGCCGACTGCTTAGCCAAACCCTTTGTAATCCGTTTAACTCGGCAAAGTTGGCCCCAAATCTGGTCAGCGGAATAACCGAGATTTGGAGGCGAAACATTGGTCTACCATGTCTCCTCCCGGGAAGGAGCGCATCCACTCCAAAGACTTAACCCGCCGCCGACATGGCCGAATGGGTCGCTACTAGAACCATTCTGGATTCTGGATCCCCCGAGTCCTCCGTAGTCGGGCCCTCGGTTATGTTGCTTCTGGCGGCGATACACACTCTTTGGCTTGGTCCGGCCAATGAGCGGATCATGCGCTATCCCCAATGACAAAATATAGTGACCATTGTTGCTTTCGTGACTGGACTGTGCCGTAGGGAATCCTCCGCATCTTCCCCACGAGTTGCCCCAACAGTACGCGGGACTCGCGGGACTCGTCACTTCCAGGTTTGAACATCCCCCAGGAAGGGTACCAACAGCACCCCCGGTGATAGGTCAATCTCCCGGTGAGCGTGGAACCCTCCTTCTTCCCCCCGGTTAGGAACATTTTGTGTGAACCGATTAGTTGCATAGGGAGGCAGGGCTCTTCCCTCTTAGGCATCACATTGGGTTCCTCCATCTCCTCCTCCTCTCTGTCATTCTTCGTTCCCCTTTTCAGACTCTTGAGACAACCTGCATTTTTTTTGATATCTCAAGTGTGTCGTGAGTCTTAGAAAGAATTGCCACTTGCCTTGTCCCACAAGCTCCCTAGTTCAGGGTTTTGCTTTTCACAATATGTCTGGGGCCATGGAGATGCACCCGGCTCAGACGCCTGCAAAGGAAGATGTCGACTTTGTAGAGAGCACAGAAGCAGGCATCCCATCGACATATGCAGACATCGTGTCTTCTCACCTTTCCAAGGCACACCGTGACTATTTGATGGAACGTCATGGAACGCTGGAACTCGATCCTATCCCCAGCATGGATCCTGCGGATCCTTACAATTGGCCGTCGTGGAAGGTAAGCGTTGTTGAATCACCTTTTTGCAGGGTGTTAAGAGGTTTCGTGGACAAGGACCATGCTAACGGCTATTGTCAACGGATTTTAGAAAATTGCAAATCTTCTCCTAGTAGCGTTTCATGCGTGCATGGGCACTTTTGCGGCTGCAGGCATCATCCCGGCTTATCAAACGTATGGTCTTCCAGGAACCTTTGTATTGCCCTCAGTCACTGACCATGAGACCAGAATTGCGAGTGATTTCGGTGTTTCGGTGAACGACGCGAGTTATTTGACCTCCATCCAAATTGCAGTCCTGGGTGTAGCACCGATTTTCTGGAAACCGTTATCCAACCGCTGGGGACGTCGCCCTATTTTCCTCCTTTCCTTAATCTGCAGTCTCGTCTGTAACGTAGGATGTGCGGAAAGCACTAGTTATGCGTCCACGGCCGTTTGTCGGGCTTTGCAAGCTTTTTTCATTTCCCCTGCCTCAGGTGAGACGCCTTTCTTATTCTCATGACCAGACGTGCTAACGGCTGCGGAAGCGATCGGAAGTGCGGTGGTAATGGAGACGACATTCAAGAAGGACCGAGCACGGTACATGGGTATATGGACGCTATTGATTACGCTGGGAATCCCCAGCGGACCCTTCATCTTTGGCTTCGTTACGTATCGGTTGGGCTACCAATGGATTTACTGGATCCTGGCAATCGTAAGTGTTCCCATGTCCCGGTCGGGTTACTGGTGCAACGAAGAGATTATCGCTGACCAAATTTCAATATTCAGATCAACGGTGTGCAGTTCATCTTGTATCTCTTTTTGGGTCCAGAGACCCGGTATATTGGAGGCGACCATAACCCCGAACAGCCCGCTTGGGTACGGGAGTATGCCCAGCTCTGACGCATTGACCCCTCTCCCTTGTCGTTCAAGGAGTTCTTCAGACCCCTGGGCATGGTCACACATCCTTGTGTTGCCATCCCCACTGCCGCATACGCCATGGTGTTCTGTTTGGGCAACGTAATGACCACTGTGGAAATACCCAGTTTGCTGCAGACTAAATTCGATTTGAATGCCGAGCAGCTCGGACTTCAGTTCCTGGGTCCTATCATCGGATCTCTTTTGGGTGAGCAGCTTGGTGGTGTGTTGTCGGATCGCTGGATGAATTTACGTGCAAAGAAAATCCACCGCAAGCCGGAACCCGAATACCGCCTGTGGCTCAGTTACATCGGATTTGTTCTGTGCATTGTGGGCTTGATTGTATTCCTTGTCTGCACCCAAGAGTCGACGGAGGGTCACTGGAACGTAAGGCCGGTGGTCGGCATCGCCATCTGCGCTGGTGGCAATCAAATCGTAACCACTGTTCTTGTCACGTATGCAGTGGACTGTTACCACAAGGAAGCAGGTAGCGTCGGAGTATACATCACGTTTGTCCGCCAAATTTGGGGATTCCTCGGACCGTTCTGGTAAGTATTGGATGCATCTCTGTGCTGGTCACATATGGCAAACGCTAATCGATATCGTTCAGGTTCCCATCCATGTTCTCGAGTGTTGGTATAGCACCGAGTGCTGGCATTTGTGCGGCGCTCGTTGCGGCCGTCAGTATCATTCCGACTATGATCGTACACTGGCAAGGACGGAGCTGGCGTCCGCCCATTGAAGAATAAACCGATGACACGAATCCCCTTTCATCCTCGTTTGCGTTATTCCTCCTTTATTTCCAACGTTGCATATGTTGTTTTTTCCTTGGACGATTTGGCGTGTTGCTTTCGGAGACGAATATGGCGAGTATAGAACTCCTAGACGTTAGATATAGATGGCGAGCATGTATATAGACGCATGAAGATATGAGCGTGCACAGCAGCGAAGCAATCGAAGACACAATATCTGAATCTGAATCCCCAATCGAAGTGTAAAGGAATGAATACAACGAAAAGAAGAATTATCAAAAGAAGTACAGTATAGTATAGAAGTATAGAGGAAAGGTTTCAAGCGAAAGGGAAAAAAGAAAAAGAAACCAAAAGACCCAAGGGCTAAAGACTTTATCCCTATCAGGTCCCGCCGTAGTTATATACTCACTCCGAAAAGAAGTAGGGACGGGAATGGAACTAAAACCCACATCGAATAAAAAAAACTCAGCAAGAGTTTTAATTAGTCTAGTAGAATAACTATTTGATGGATCACGGCAATTTCGATTCGAGAGCTGCCAAACGATTCCCCCCGAAATGTGGCCCGTCCGATATCATCAAACCATACTAACTATCGGCAAAGCGAAGGGGGAATGAATAGCACCCGGGAGTGGTGTGGTTGTTGCTGCTAGTGTCAGACCACGCTTACAGTGTGCAGTTTAGTGTTGGGCGGCTGCCCGATCGGCTAGCCCGATGTCCGCCGATGTTGCTGCTATCGGGAAGGATTCACGGCGTCCGGTTCGCTACTTACGAATTTACGGAGTACGGGCACGGGATTGATGGTATGGAGGATTAACCGGGATTTCTTATTATCACTTTTCTTTATTTAAAATTCTTATTTATATTTTATTGTACAGAGACAGGAATGTAATCCCTTTCCTGATCTACAAGCTGTCAGGGATACTCAGCACATGGCCCGGTTACTTGGCTCCTCAGGTATTGACTACTGACTGGCCAGCGTGCAAGGTTACTCCCGAAAGTTGAACCACAAAATTCCGGTTCGGACTGGTCACGCAGCGCTCGGCATCGAAGCGGAATAGATTTACTCCGCTAGGATAAGATTTTATCCTCTCCTGCAGATGTTGACTGATTTTGTGATGTGAGTCGGCAATTCGTGGTTCGGTCTCTGAGTAGCTTTGCATTTTGAGGACGAGTTTCGTTTATCCATCTATGGAGTGATGGTAGTGAAGGGATGGGTAAGGAGTTACACGGGGAAGAAGACTACTTCGATTATACGGATTTTTGTTGTTGTTGTTTCCATGGCGGTTTCTGGGTGTTTAAGGATTCTGTATTTAGTGCCTGAGGTTTGACTTGAACCTAGGTGCGTTAAGTTCCAGGCTTATTTCCTTTCCTCCTTGTCAGCTGCCTTCTTCTCCTTGCTTCTTGTCTTCCGGCCTGCAGCAGCTAGACTACTGAATTCATGGGCAGTGCTGGGCAAAAGCTTGAGAAGTGGCTGATTGTGGGGACATTAGTCAGCGTGGGGTGTGGATGTGGGTGGTTTGCCTCCCACCTACGTCTTGTTGGGTTTGTTGTCATTCTCGGAGGATGATTGCGACAATGTGATAACTCCTTGCATCATAGGACATGTCACCTGGCTTAACTATAGGTACGCATGTATGTATTGGAACAATGAACCTGTTCATTGGTATCCGTACAGTATATACATCTCTATGCTATTCTTGTAATATGGCTCATCATAATCCGTAAATCCCCGCCCGTCTCATAGTACCATTATCATATTCATGCCTGGTTTTCAATCTTCGTGATGAGGGTGCCGACGTGGGGCTGCAGCTCGACGGCGAACTCGTCGCCATGCTTGAAGAACTCCTTGGGGTTCTTGGCGGCGCCAACACCGGGGGGAGTACCGGTGAGGATGATAGTTCCCGCAGGCAGGGTGGTGCCCTGGGACAGGAAGCTGACGAGCTGGGGCACGTTGAAGATCAGATCACTGTTCGGAGTTGCTGGTCAGCTTTTATCCTGGTGCGCATCATGGAAAGCAGTATAAGAAGAGACATACGTCAAGGGGCAGTCCTGAAGGACCTTTCCGTTCTTCGATCCACGAATGTGGAACTTGCTGGCATCGGGGACCTGAGCGGCGGAAACGAGGACGGGACCTGCGAGAGTTCATCCATCAGCACAAAATGCAATATCATTTTAGTATTGAAGGTGGGCTAGCTATACCGATTGGGCAGGAGGTGTCGAAGCCCTTGGAGAAGCACCATTGGCTCTGGTTCATCTGGTAGGTGCGGCTAGAGATATCGTTGGCCGCGGTGTATCCGAGCACGTAGTCCAGGGCCTCAGCCTCGCTGACATCCTTCGCATCGCGGCCGATCACAATGACCATCTCCGACTCGTAGTCACCCGTGTTGTCAATCTGGGTGAGCTTGGGCAGAACGGTCGGGGCGGGCCAGGGGTCGGACAGAGCAGTCGAGGGCTTCATGAAAAGAGTAGGAACATCGGGGATGGACAGCTTCATCTCAGCAGCGTGGGAGACATACTGCGCAATCAGTTAGTTTCTTGCTCAACCGAAAGGCGACTATGCTGCGATGAATGAGAACTTACGTTCAGTCCAATGCATCGGATGGATCCGACTTCGCTCTGTGCCAAAGGCGAAAGCACGCGCTCAATGGTCTCGGTCGTGTCGGTCTTCTGGCCGGGGTTGAGGACGGAGCTACCGGAGAAGGGGCGCACAGCGACATCCTTGCCCTGGTAGACGGCCAATCCAACATCCACTGCGGCATCGACGGGCTCACCGATCAGAACCTTAGCAGGGTTCGACTTGGGAACGAAGCGCACGAGGCCTGATTTGCGTTAGCAACACAGCTGCAGTAGCAAGATCGTGTCCACATACGCGAGAAGGTAGATGCGACCTTAGACATGATGAGTTATTGTGAGGGGGAAGAAGGAATTGATGAACAACAAAGATGCAAGACAGCGAACAGGAATCAATTGAGGCGAACTCTCTTTTGAAGTACAGTCCACGGGATATTTCTACCCCGATATCGTCGCGGGGTGCAGTTCTGGTGGCCGGCCGGGAAGCTCAGTGCGCGCGGGGTGGGGGGGGAAAGCAAAGTGGGAGGGGCAATCAAACTCACTGCCTTTGCCGGTGGGAACCAATCCATTTCTCAGCAGCCAGTCCGCATTCGACTTCTTTTGCAGGAACCAAACACTCGCTCCCCCTCCATGACTTGACTTCAACGCTCTGGATCTCCGAGCCTCGGGCGAAAGCCGGCGGCGAATACGCTAAACAGCCCACTTCCCCACGACAACGTGGGGATGTTGCCCGCGGCTTGTCGTGCCGGTTGAACTGCGAAATCGCATGCTCTTCGTTTAAAAGCGAACAGTGTCGCAGTTATCGAGTCTGTCTCCAAGTCGTTCAGAAAACTACTCTTCACACAATCTGCCACAATGTCTGCCCCCAAGGGACCTTTCAAGCTCGTCACTGTCAACACCGCTCCCGAGAGAGCCAAGCGCCTCATCGGACGGGTTGCTGAGGCCCTTTCGGACCGTTACACCATCATTCACATTGACAACTGCGAGAGTAAGTACTTGCGACTTTGAAACTCCTTGCAGGACTTAGTGATTAGCGGTACTGACCGAATCTGCGAACAGAGATCGAGGAAGTCGAGTCCAAGGTCAAGCAGCACATGCCCGATGTCCTGGTAAGCTCTCTCTTCATCTTGAGCTTTCTCTACAATGCGGGGTAAAGCGACTACTTTTATGATGGCATATGTCTGACTTCCTCCGCAGTTCAGCGCCTCCATGTGGTCCGCCGAGCAGGCCAACGAGATCCACTCCATTGCCCGTTCGATCAAGCCCGACATCAAGCTGCACGCTATCCCCGAGGGTCTCCAGGTCGAGCGCGGCCCCGACGCCATTGTTGAATACCTTTGCGAGAAGGTCCCTCCTCTCCTGGACGCCTAAATATGAGGTGTCAGTGTACCAACTTTAGGAATAAGCGGGGGATATCACGGTGGATATGACGACAATATCTATGTCTTGTATATACATTTACTTCGATGAAGCTCCCAGAATAGACGATTTACGATTTTGATTGTTGAATGTATATGAATGTATAAAAGGAGATTTACAGTAGAGTGTGTATTCTGACATGACAAGTATATTTGTAGAACAACCGAGCTCTCATAAAAATCAGTGGACTTGAGCTAGATTGGTGCGACGTGGGAGTAACAGCCAAGCTGGCCCTTGCGGTGTAAAGAAAAGGTGCATCCAACAAATATTGTTCTGACTGAATAACCAAACTGGCGATGTTCATCTCAGTTTGCAGATAGTAATTAATTCACCCGGATTTAGTTTCCCGGCTGTTTTCGAGTCGTACGACCATTCAGAGGCCTAAGCGTAAGTTAATAGTAAGCTGTTGCAGCGAGAGATTCCGACCAATATCCGAGGTGTAAGGTCCAACATGAACCATGAACTTCGTGGGTGGATTGGTACTAGTACTACCAATAGTACTAGAAACGATGATGCAATTAATCGATATATATTTTGAACCGAGATCAGATAAGATCCAATTACTCAAGCCCCTACAAACCATTACCACAATCGCCCATCATCAGTGCAAGGCCAGCAGTACAACATCGCACAAGCCAAAGGCTACCTTTCAGACCAAAGCAAACGACAATTCAACTCCGACATATATACCCCTGTCAAGCCAAGACACCCGGATATTGCTCCAAGCACGACAATCCCATTAAGCCGACGGGACAACGGCAAAACCACTTGCCAGCTGCTTAGTCATATACCCAAGGCAGCTGCTGATCTTCAATGCTTAAATGCACCAAACTCAAGATAAACCCTCAGATCAATCGCATTCCTCAGATAGCATCGTCATCACTATCATAATAGCCACTCACAATCATGCTCCAACCAATCCGTACAACCTTCCGAAGCGCCGCCCAAAGCGCCCGCTTATTCTCCACATCACGAGGCCTCCGAACAGACCTGTCCTACCAGGTGTTTGGCCCCGAGAAAGCCGATCTTGTTGATCGGAGTCCTATCATCTTCCTTCATGGGCTGTTTGGCTCGAAGCAGAATAACCGGGGTATTAGCAAGTATGCATCCCTTTTCCATTCAATTGCCCCCAGAAGACAAACACCCAGTGAATTGGAAAGCGACTAACCATCATGCAGAGCATTGGCACGTGATCTGAAACGTGAGATCTTCACAGTGGTGTGTAAACTAGTGATGAAGAAAAAGTATTTGGAATCAAAGTAGTGATTCAAATCGTGTTTGTTCTGCAGGACCTCCGCAACCATGGCCAATCCTTCCACGCCCAAGAACACAACTACTCCGTCATGGCCGAAGACGTGATCAAGTTCCTCCAGCAGCTGAAGCTAGACAAGGCGGTTCTGATCGGTCACTCGATGTACGTCATATCCTACTACTATGTACATGTCTCTGATTCTTCCCTCTACACACAATACCTTCAGAACCAACAGTAAAGACAAAACAAGATAAGGCGGCTAAACTAACGGAAAATAAATAGGGGCGCTAAAACCGCCATGACAGTTGCCCTTGATTCACCCAAGCTTGTCTCGGCCCTTGTACCGGTTGACAACGCCCCCGTGAATGCTCCCCTGAAGAGCGATTTCGGTCTCTACGTCCGTGGCATGCAGCATGTTGAGGCTGCGAATGTGACGAAGCAGTCTGAGGCTGATGAGATCTTGAAGGGATATGAGGAGGTGAGTAAGAGTAGTGAATCGCAAACCGAGCTTGATCTGTACATATCAATCGACTAACCTAATATGTGACAGTCCCTTCCCATCCGCCAGTTCCTCCTCACCAACCTGGTCCGCTCGACTGAAGACCAAACCATGAAGTTCCGTGTCCCGCTCGCCGTCCTCGGCGAAGCCATTCCCGGTATGGCTGATTTCCCGTACCGGGAGCCGGGATCTGTCTCGTATGATGGCCCTACGCTGTTTGTGAGGGGCACCAAGAGCAGATATGTGAGCGATGAGTCTGTGCCAACGATTAAGAAGTTCTTCCCCAATGCTCGCATAGCGGATGTGGAGGCCGGGCATTGGTTGATTTCAGAGAACCCTGAGGGATTTAGGCAAGGTGAGCAGTTCTGATCTATTTGGATTGAGTAGGATGGTTTGCTGACGCGTATGCTTTTGCTTCTTGCAGCTGTTCTTAAGTTCCTCCAGGAGGCTCCCTGATATGATAGCTACAGGCATGCTTGGTTTGATGGATGGATGTATAGACAGACAAGACAGGACAGAACTGACTCAGACTCCACTTGTACATTCTTGTTATGTGCAGGTCCCTTTCACCCCTACCTCCTTGACCCTGAAGAAAGAAAAAAGCAATGAACAGAAGAAAGTAAGAGAGGCCTGGGCTTACGTCGCCCAGGACCACAGAGAGAGTGAGGGGAAATAAATAAGAAAAGAAATTATTGACACGGGGATATCCAGCAGAATTGAAACCAACTTTTCTTCCTTTTCCTCAGACTAACGACTGATTCATAACATTCGTAATCTCGTAATGTGTACTGCTTCAAGAACACCATCCAGGGGGTAACTCTCAGCCTCAGTCATACACCTACAACCCCCTTTCAGTCAATTGTTATTATCTTGTCTGCTGCCTGCGCACCTTTATTCTTCTGTAATTTCCGCTTCTTTTGTTTCTTTTTGCGGCTTTTCTTGTCCGTTGATGGCGCGGCGTCACCTCCCGCTGCGGAACCCGCAGCATTGGAAGTTGGTGATTCGGGTCTACTTAGACTGGAACGCTCTTCGTCGGATGCATTAAACGTAACAGGCCGTTTCCTCTTCCGCTCTTGTAAAGCACGCGCTGGAGTGGATTCAGCTATACTCATGAACCTGGCGACTTCAGCATCCTGATCATTCCCCTCAGGCTCATCTTTCATTGCACTGATATTATCATCTTGCTGAGGCTCTTCTAGTCGCGGTGGTTGCTGGCTGCTCTCGACTAGCTTCACTAGGCCATCGACCCTTTCAGTTAGTCCTGTAAGGTTCTTCGACGTGGAGCCTTCGAGAAGCCTATGTTCTTCCACAACATTCTGGTACTTTTCAAGTGTGGAGGTCTCGAGTTGGCAAACACGGTCAAGCACTGCTTTGAGCTCATCTGGACAGGCTTTCAACATATTCAAGTCGTCTTCATTGCTTGATTGGATCTCGCAGAGTTTCTTTGCCAGGTCTTCTTGAGCCTCGACAAGAGCTTTGAGCTGATCGTGTTCCTCCTGGGTTTTGACGAGTTTCCCAGCCAAGGTTTTCTGTTCGTCAATCAGAGACTTGATTTGATTCCGTATATTGTCTTGTTGAGAATCAGAAAATCTCTCGAGTAGCTTTTTCTGTTCATCTGCCAGAGCCCTGACTTGATCTTGCAAGCCCTCCTCCTGATGTTCAGAAAGTCTTTTGGCCAGGGTTTCCTGCTGTGCGGCTAGGGTTTGGACTTGATCCGGTAGATCATTGACCTTCTGAAATCCAGAACAAATTTTCTCGAGTTCGGTTTGCTTTTCGGCAATGGCGTGGAGCTGCATATGCAAGTTATTTCTGCCTGTTGTCAGGTCGTCGTGGAGTAGTTGGTCCTTTGCCTCCCGCGACTCCACGTATCCGCTGAGTTTGCTAGTATGCTCGTCAATCTTTGCCGCCAGAGATGTCAGATCATTCTGCATTTGCCGTAGGTCATCAGCGGTGAGCCAACGGTTCTGATTCTGGGCGGTAAGCCGCTCCCAAACAGGGGCGAGTGATTGGGAGAGATTCGTCTGCTGGCTCCTCAGGCGATTCATTTCCTCCATTCGCAAAGCCATGTCTTTCTGTGTCTGCTCCACCAAATTCATCTGATTCACGTGCAGGCGCTCCGTTATCGCTTTCAATGGAGGAATGTCCCGCTCAAACCAGGCCCTAATAAGGGATATTTGCTCTGTCAGCTGCGCGGTTGATGGGTACATCTCTTGCATAGCCACCACCATGTGTTTCACAATGGTATCCGTGGATAGATTGTTGTACCGAGTCTCGAGTGAATGTAATGCAACCCGCAAAGTTTCAACCATATTTTGCATGTTCATAAGTCCAGACGCAATCCCTTGGATATGCGCCTGAACCCCAGCGGGATTCGCTACTGCCTGAGCTTGGCTCAGGCCCTTGAGCTCCTCACTGACTCGGACATAATCGCTCCTGATCTGTTCGAATTCCTGGGCACCCCTTTCCCACACCTTTTTGAGATCCTCGATTTCCTTGAATTGGAAGTCGTCTTTCATCTGTTGTATTGTTTGCAGTCCTTGTAGCTGATCCTCCATTTGTTTAATACGACGCTCGTGCTGTCCTGAGAGTTCACCTTCCAGTTTCTGTAATCGGGATGCCAGTTCTTCAGACATGACCGACGGCTCAGGCGCAGTTTCTACAGCAGGGGAGGGGACCTGGATATTCTTCTCTTCAACTGAAGTTAAGCGTGCAGCAAGAGATGTCAACGACCGTGTATTTTCCATGCTCCGGGTGTCCTGTTGCTGGCGATGATCGTCCAGGCTCTTGTTCATCTTATTCAGATAATCGGAGCATTCACGCTGGGACTTCTGCAAGACTTCGATCTGTTTGGTCAGGTCTGAGGTCTGCTTTCTTAACTCATCCATCTGTGCCTTGAAAGCGGCCGAGGTATTTTCTCGCTCTTTCGATGCCAACGCAGTTTCCAGCTCCGAGGTTATCTTGGTGACATGCTCAGCATTCTCTTTGGCAAGTTTCGCGTGGCTTGAGGTAAGCCTGTCAAGCGAGTTAACCTTCTCTTGCAGGGTCCGAACTGAGCCCACTTTATCCTGCACTGCCGCCATCTTGCCTTCCAGGTTGATATTATAGTCACGCAGCCTTGCGATGTCCTTCTGCGCAGTTCCCAACCCGTTCTTCGCATGTTGAACCTCATTTTGTAGTTGGTTTACCCTGTCCTCGGTTCTCGGGGGCTCCAGTGACATGATCGAACTAAATCTGGCTTTTAGAGCATTTTCCAGTTCTCTGTAGTTGGCGGCATGCTTCCGGAGGGTTTTATCAAGCTGAGCCAGATCAGCGTCCTCCGCCTCCTGGGACTGCTGGAAAAAAGCTGCAGTAGACGGAAAACTAGAGTGAACTTTAGCTTTCTTAAGCAGGGCATCAGTGGCCTCTCTCTTCTTTTTTAGTCTCTCCTGTTCGGATTTGCTGTTGGCAGCAATCACGGCGGCTTGGACCAGGTCGGAGATTCCACGTATAAATTGATCGGCAGTGGCATTTTGGGCATCGACGGGCGAGGAGCTTCCGACCGAACGGGATCCAGGCCTGAAGCGCGTAGGGGAGGCGCTTGAAGAAGCATCCGCAGAGGAAGGGTGGTTCAGGGGCGGCCTGGCTAAAGGCCTGGCGAGACGGGGGTCACGCGTAGTACCGGCGTCTGTATCCATATCACGACGTCACAAAGTTCAGTTGGCCTGACAATCAAATCCAATTATTTGACAACATCCCATGTGCCTTGCGTAACGTAGATGAAGGAAGCCAGGAGGGGACAATTAATAAGGGGTGGGATGAGGGGCTTGGGGTAAGACAAATACACGATAGATAGAAAAGGTAAACGTGATTGATTGAATTCAAGCCCCAAGTAGAAAATTGCCTACATTAACGAAACAACTGGGATTGAAGGCGGCGCGATAGCAACCGCGACATTGGCCAGACAACGGGGGAATAGAGAAGGTCGACAGGCCGAGTCCAGACGCATATCATTCTCCTTTTATTTTTTTTTTTATATATATACCTCGAGCGAAAGGTGAATGCGCAACTGTCAATGAGGGGACAAACGGAGAATTCCTGGCGCAGTCAAACCAAACCCGTTTGCGCTTAGAAAACAACGCGCCGGCAGAAAAAACGGTCAATCGCTCATTCTGCCGGGCGGCCTGCAAGGCGGCTTCCCGGCCAGCAGCTCTTTCGCCTGCTCTTCCACTCCGCGCTCTCTCAGGCTGGCCAAACCTCTCCATTTTTGGCTGCTCCCTTGACCTCCGTGGCTTTTCATCTGACCTGACAAGATATTTACGATCTGAAAGTCGTCGCGATGGCTGCTGTAAGTTCCAATTCCGATGAAATGCGTGGTGTTCGTCACCGCTGACTCTCCCCGACAGCCAATTTCTACCGTCGCGGAGACCAAGGAGCTCCGGGGTCTCAACCTCATCGCTGCTCATTCACACATTCGAGGACTCGGTGTCGATGCAGACAGCCTACAGCCTAGGGCTTCCTCTCAAGGGCTGGTGGGCCAGGAGAAGGCGAGGAAGGCTGCCGCAGTGATTCTGCAAATGGTCAAGGAAGGCAAGATTGCCGGTCGCGCGTTGCTGATTGCCGGCCCTCCTAGCACTGGTAAAACAGCCATCGCCATGGGTATGGCGCAATCCCTCGGATCCGATGTTCCCTTCACAATGCTCGCAGCGTCGGAGATCTTCTCCATGGAGATGTCCAAGACCGAGGCGCTCACGCAAGCCTTCCGCAAATCGATCGGCGTTCGTATCAAGGAGGAGAGTGAAATCATCGAGGGTGAAGTGGTTGAAATCCAAATCGACCGCAGCGTTACTGGTGTAAGTGAGGCCTTGGGTGAGCTCTCAATGACGAACGCTTCTGACATCAGTTGTCTTTTAGGGAAACAAACAAGGCAAGCTCACCATCAAGACGACCGACATGGAAACGATCTACGACATGGGAACAAAGATGATCGACTCAATGACCAAGGAACGAGTGATGGCCGGTGACATTATCTCCATTGACAAATCTTCGGGAAAGATAACCAAGCTGGGACGTTCTTACGCTCGGTCGCGCGACTACGATGCGATGGGAGCGGACACAAAGTTTGTCCAATGCCCTGAGGGTGAACTCCAGGTTCGCAAGGAAATCGTGCACACCGTCAGCCTTCATGAGATCGATGTGATCAACTCGCGGTCACAAGGATTCTTGGCTCTCTTCTCTGGAGATACCGGTGAGATCAGGAGTGAAGTGAGGGATCAGATTAACACCAAGGTGGCGGAGTGGAAGGAAGAAGGAAAAGCCGAGATTATCCCGGGAGTCCTTTTCATTGATGAAGTGCACATGCTTGACATTGAATGCTTCTCTTACATCAACCGCGCTCTGGAGGCGGAACTGGCACCCATCGTCATCATGGCTAGCAACCGGGGCCACGCCCGGATTCGTGGTACGACATACAGCTCTCCGCACGGTCTTCCCCTGGATTTCCTCGACCGCGTGGTGATTGTCAGCACACAGCCCTACTCTGCCGATGAGATTAGGCAGATTCTGGCGATTCGCGCCCAGGAGGAAGAGATCGACCTTTCTCCGGACGCTTTGGCGCTGCTCACCAAGATCGGCCAGGAGTCAAATCTACGCTATGCCAGCAACATCATCACCACCTCCCATCTGCTCAGCCAGAATCGTAAGGCGAAGGAGGTCAGCATTGATGACGTCCAGCGCAGTTACCGGCTGTTCTACGACCCTGCACGGAGCGTCAAATTTGTCAGCACATACGAACAGCGTTTCATCGGCGATCAAGGTGCCGTTAGCTTCATTGCTCCTACAAACGGAGATGCGATGGAGCTTTCATAGTCTTATCTGCCGTAGAACTTTTCAATGATTCTTGGTGCGTGGGGAAGCCTCTGCCATGATTAGACGGCACTGAGGCATGGGTCGCAAGGCTTACGGAGGACCATTTCCCGTCTTTTTATATTGTTCCGTTTTCGTTTACCAGATGAATTGCTTGGTGTATGATAATGCTGGCGCTTTTTCAAAACACATCTGTTGTGGGTACTGCGATATTGGGTCTCAACTTTGAAGAAAGAGCCTAGGCTCGAATGATAATGATGCAATTAATGTTTCCCAGCAGATGGTATTTGTAGATGCCAGTAGACGTAATTTTGTACGGTGCTTATGCAAATGTTGCTTCTCTCTGCCACGGACCCGTGTCTGTCGTCCTTCGGAACTCGACACCTTCGCCGAAGTAGCCCGCATTCTTCCACGACTCCATCGTCGCACTATCATATGGACCATGTGTGACGCCTCCGTCACGAGCGTCCGCCCAACGAAACTCCCACATTGCAGGAGCTTCTTCACTGGGCCCTGAGACCTCGGGCGACGGATCGACCCAGTCCTCTCCGGTTTCGCGGCGGTATTGCCTAGTGAGCATCTCGCGTTCAGTGTCGTAAATATCCGCCTGCCCTCTTGTCATAAGAATATCGGCTGCGCCTGTGATGGCATCAATCGCTTGCTTTCTAGCCGTTTCCTTGGGATCCTCTTCGGCCATTTCGGTATCCTCGTTCGCAGATTCTTGCTTCTTCCGGTTTTTGTTGCGATTCGTCTGCCATTTCGGTTTCTTTGGAGCTCCCTTGCCAATCCTTGCCAGCGCCTCCAAGATCGTCTCGCCTCGATCGAGGTATGAGATAATGGTCTTCAGGGCGTCTGATGTCAATACACTGTCATCTTGCCTATCCTTTTCTTTTCTCTCCTCCTCTCGCTTCTCTGCGGCCTCTTTGGCGCGACGGATATCCTTCTTTGACACGCCTTCTAGCCAGCTGTCATAGACCGCATCCGGGTCTACTGCTTTCCTGATGTAGTTGCCTTGGTCGTCGAATCTGCCCTCCTCTTGTTCGGTGCGCATGTTGAACGCGTCCAGTACTGGCGCATGCTTTTTCTTTGCGCCAGCGCCAAGCTCTTCATCCATTTCCTCATCGAGTTTTGCGCGCTCCTCATCTCCAACCTCGCTTTCGCTCTCGTCTTCATCATTGTCAACCTCGTCGGCGCCTTTGCTGAAATCTGCATGTACAGTTCCTCCGCTTTTGGATGAAGCGACTTGACCCTCGATTTCATCGTCTCGTAGGAATCGCACCGTTTTCTTGTTCTTGCGCAAGGCCTCATCGGCGTCGACCTCTTCTGCACCAAAATCCTCCTGCAGCTCGGCAAACATATCGTCATCTTCCGCATCGTGCTTTTCTCTGCTTGCTTTCGACTTGGCCTCGATGCGCGCCGAAAATCCTTCATTTTCACTGTCCGAGTCGTAACCATCAAGGTTGACCGCTTTGCGGCGAACTTGCTGCCCACGGCGTCCTATTTCGTCTGCATCCAGAACTGCATCGTCTTCCAGCGCATCAGGGGCAAGAGCGGAGGGATTTCGTAAGTCGAAGCGGGGCTTCTTGCTGGAGGCACCGTTCACATCGTCATCTTCGTGGTGGTGGGTGCGGGTGAAGTCTTCACCCGCTCGCTTGGGGCGTGGCTGAGAGGCGGACATGGAGCTGCGCTGTAAAACCAAGGTGGTTGGATTCTACGGATCCTTCCGGGGTATATGCATTGAAAATCGTAGTAATCTTGCTTCTGGAGAAGTCAAACGAAGAATATCAGCAGAGGGGTTGCGCGGAGCAGACCGAGCTGTCTGGGGTCGGGTCGGAAAATCATCGCGGCGGCGTTTGCGTCACTGCGATCTGATCGCTCTGTTCGTTCCTGACCTTCACCCGAACAGCTCTCCCTGCTAGCTTCTTCCCTGCTTTCTTGCCACCGCAGCGGATTGCATCCTATTTGCTACTGACTACAGCTCAGACTGTAGCGAAAACCTACGATAACAGTTGATCATCGTCTTAAGACCTATAGGGTACTAGTCCAGCTCGAGTCATGGTGAGTTCCCCGCTTAGGCGCCGTTATGTACTGAGGTGTATACATGCTGATACCCGGAGGATGACAGTTTCGTTCTGGATACTGGGATGACGATCCCATGAACGGAGTCATGGGTGGTTCCATGTTCCGCCATGGAGCTGCTCGTCGTTTCGATGAATACTACCGCTGCTATCCTGTCGCCATGATGCCCGGCCCGGAGAGAGAGAACGTGAACCACGGCGGCAAGGTCATCATGCCGCCCAGCGCTCTTGACAAGCTTACTCGCCTTCATATTACGTATCCGATGCTGTTCGAGCTTCACAACGGGGCACGGGAGAGGTTGACGCACGCTGGTGTACTGGAGTTCATTGCGGAAGAGGGGAAGATCTATCTACCTTTTTGGGTAATGTGCTTCTCATGATAGGTACCCTGCAGGATACTGACTAGTTGATCTCCCGCAGCTCATGCAAACTCTCCTTCTGGAACCCGGTGATCTCGTACAGGTCAAGTCGACCGATCTCCCACCCGGCCAATTCATCAAGCTGCAAGCTCAATCTACCTCATTCCTCGATATAAGTGACCCGAAGGCCGTGCTGGAGAATGCTTTCCGTAACTTCTCCTGTCTGACCAAGGGAGATGTCTTCACATTTGCATACAACGACCAGGTTTACGAGATGGCGGTCTTGGAAACCAAGCCATCCACCGACACGAATGCCATTTCCGTGCTCGAGACAGATCTAGAAGTGGACTTTGCGCCTCCTGTGGGCTATGAGGAGCCTCAACGGCCCAGCGGCACCAGTACTCCTCGTAGTGGAGTGAGCAACAAGCTGCCCTCTGGTGGGCTGCTTCATCCCCATGGAACCATGGCACAGGCGATCAACTACGCTGCTATTGCCCCGGAGTCGACTGATGCTGCGGCGGGTGCCCGAGCGGTCTCGTCGAACTTCCTCAGTGGAGGACAGCGTCTGAATGCCAAGAAGGGAAGCAAAACATCCACACCAAAACCGTCTACTCCTACCCCAGGAACAACGAACCCGCAGCATCCCCCTCCTGTCAGGAAGACCAACGGCCCGCAACCTCTGCGGTTAGGCCACAACCAGCTATTCTTTGGATATGCAATCAAGCCAGTGAAGAAGCGCGACGAGAGCGGACAGGTACTCGAGGACAAGCCTCGCTTCCAGGGATCTGGTCAAACATTACGAGGAAAGAAGAAAGACGCAAGTGGCTCGGCAACCCCTACTTAAGATAACGCCAGACAAGGCTGGATTAATGAACGCCGATCGGCTATGATAATATGGGTCTCCCTTGCACGGTATAGGGGAAGCAGCCCCTGATCATTCTACCAGGACATGACCGCTGGCTTCCCAGGCACGCTATATTCGACTCATTGGATGGGCTATAGAAGGCAGCGCGAAAGCGTAGGACGGGAATTTAGAGCATAGCGGGGACAGGCGTTAACGAGGCTATTTCGATCACATCAGGCTTTGATCCACTTGCAATGCCAAACACCACTTGGTAGGATGTATCTATCTATCGCTAAGCCATCAAATGGCCGTTTCTTGGCAACGGGGGACGGACCTACAAAGTAACACTAAAGTGACTAAAAAGGCACTAGAAGTAGAATTAACCGCGATGCTCGACTCAGCTCTCCCCCGGCCGAAGATCGGCAGATTCCCCGGAAATCATCCAGGAACCAGGTAGATTGTTGAAGTGATAAGCAAATTCCATTCCCTTGTGTTACTGCCAAAATTTAGAGATAGACAATTCCACTTAAATACATCACCTCACCTCACACCACCACCTCCAATCCACACTCATTTACTTCATACCCTCACACACATTGTCTTCAATCAATCATTCAAGCAATCAATCATGTCATCTCCACCCACCATGGACATGACCTCCCTCCCCAAACCCATAACACTCTCAACAACAGTCCACGCCTACGACCCTCTCACCCCCAAATCCACCACCAGCAACAACAACGCACCGCAAACAATAATCCTCGCCTACTGGATGAACGCCCCCCAGCGCGCCCTCACAAAATACACCACCCAGTACCGCACCCTCTACCCCAGCGCCCGCATCCTCACTCTCCAAAGCAGCACGGGTGACTTTATGCGTCTCCCTTCACTCTTCACCTTCACCAGCACTACAAACGACAACAAGAAGACTACTAGTGCTCAACCCGCTCTCGACTACCTCCTCCTCCACCACCCACCCGGCACCCCCAAAGATAATGAGAGAATCCACATTCACCTCTTCTCCAACGGCGGCGTTCACACAACCACGACCCTCCTCTCAACCTACAAGTCCACCACAGGCCACACCCTCCCCCTCACCTCCCTGCTCATTGACAGCGCACCGGGGAAGCCCTCATTGATCGGTGCGTTCCGCGCCTTCTCGTTCATTCTTCCCAAGAACGTTATTCTCAAGTGGGTGGGGAAGGTTCTGCTGGGATGTATGTTGCTGTTGATGTTTGGGATGAGGTGGGTGGTTGGTAGTGAAGATGAGGTGAGTAAGGGGAGACGAATGCTGAATGATAGGAGTGTTGTGGGGGAAAGTGTGCGACGGTGTTATGTTTATTCCGAGGGGGATGGGTTAGTGGATTGGAGGGATGTGGAGGAGCATGCTGTGGAGGCGGAGGGGGTATTTGGTGGTGGTGGTGGTGCGGTGAGGAAGGAGAAGTGGGGGAGGGGTAGTGGGCATGTTGAGCATATGAGGGTGGATGGGGGGAGGTATTGGAAGGTTGTTGGGGAGGTTGTGGAGGGGAGATCCTAATAGAAGATGATGGTTGTTGTGTGGTTATTACTATGGATGAAGGGAAAGGATGTTTACTACTGCATATTTGCAATAAGATTTAGAAATAAGTCGACGATCGCCGAGCGCTATGCATGCAACAACAAGAAAAAGAAAAAGACACATCCAGAACCGGCTTTTATGTACACTCCGATGAACCAAAATGAAACGCCCAACTTTTTTCTTTTTCCACTCATCAGCTGTTGTATTTCTTGCGTGTTTGTTCATTTCTTCTTGATCCATATATCCCATCCTATCATCATTGTGGATACAGCGAGACCGTATAAGGAGGACAGATTACCGCCCCTTCATCTCCGGGAACTCGTCATCAAGCTTCAACCTCGCGGTGACATTCATACTCATCAGCTCCTGAATGAGCAGCTTCGCTGCATACGGGATAGCCATCTTGACCACGCTGCGGGACGACTTGCACCGCTGACACCAGTTCAAGTATCCCATGAATCCGCACTGCTCGCAGACATCGATCTCATGACGATCAGACGAGATCATCAACCGTTCCAGTAGAAGCTGACTAGTACCATACGCAATCAAACAATCACGTTCCATCTCACCCAGACGCAGACCACCGTCACGGGAACGACCTTCCGTAGGCTGACGGGTAAGAATAGCGCGGGGACCACGAGCACGCGAGTGCATCTTGTCTTGGACCATGTGCTTCAGTTTCTGGTAGTAGATGGGACCCGTGAAGACGTAGAAGGGTAGGGCTTCGCCCGTGATACCCGAGGTGAGGTAGTCCTTGCCACCGTAGCTGAAGCCGTTGTCGATTAGGATCTGGGACATTTCCTGGACGGGACTGCCGCCGAAGCAGGTACCGTAGCCGTGTTGGCCGGCTAGAACGCCGGCTTTGCCGGCGACGAGTTCCAGCATCTTGCCGACTGTCATTCGAGAGGGGAAACCGTGGGGGTTCATGATGATGTCAGGGTTGATGCCGGTGTCGGTGAAGGGCATGTCAGCTTGGTCGGCGATGATACCTACCACACCCTTCTGTCCGTGACGCGAGGAGAACTTATCGCCGACTTCCGGGCGGCGGGTCTGGCGGGTGAGGACTTTGACGAGCTGGTTCTCGTTCTCGGTGACCGAGACCATCACTTTGTCGATGTAGGCGGGGTCTGGGAGCTTGTAGGTCATAGGAGTTGGCATGTATGAGACGGGTCGGCCGGCGTCGGAGTTGGGGAAGCCTGATGACATGGACTGGTCGGGAGTGGACTTGTTGATGTAGACTTCGCCGGCGTTGACTTGCTCACCGACTGCGGCGAGACCGTCACTCTCGAGGAGAGCGTGCTTGCGGATTGGAGCGTCGTTCTCGTAGGTAGGTCCGCTCAGCCGGTCCTTGGTGCCGTTGGAGTAACTCTTCAGGTTGGTGACGTATTTCCGGAACACCTGGCAGCGTCCGAAGCCGCGGTCGACTGAACCCTTGTTCAGGACCAGGGCATCCTCAATATCGTAACCAGAGTAACTCATGACGGCGACGATGGCGTTCTGTCCGGCAGGAAGCTGATCGTATTTGGTCAGCTCGATGGTGCGAGACTTGACCATGGGCTTTTGCGGGTAGACCATGAGGTACAGAATCGAGTCAATACGCAGAAATTGGTTGGAGGCGATCGCGCCAATAGCTTGTTTACCCATAGCACATTGGTAGGTGTTACGGGGGGACTGGTTGTGGTGAGGATAGGGAATAAGACCGGCGACTGCACCGAGGACCGTAAAGGGCTCGATTTCCAGATGGGTGGTGGTTTCTGTGATATCTTTCTCGTAGATGGAAATCAAAGAGTCGTTCTCTTCGTTGACATCAAGATACTCGACCAGACCTTGAGCAAGGAAGTCGTCGAACTGCATTGTGCCATTACGCAGCTTCTCGAGGTGCTGGGCATTAACACGAGACTTGCCGTTTTCGACGACGATAAGCGGTCTACAGATACGTCCATCATCGGTCGCGACATGGACGGCCCTCTGGTGGTGGTTGATGTAGATACTGACGAACTCAGAAATGCGACCCATTCGACGCAGTCTGCGGAACGCGTCAAGGAAGTATTTCGGACGACGTGTGAGTGCGGTGGGTGTTCCGTTGATGGAAATCGTATAGCAGCCAGGTCCGTAGAGCTCCTTACCACCCACAGTCTGAATATCTTCGGCACCGAGCATGAAAATCAAGTTTCTGACCGGGCCCTCTTCGTCATTGGTTGTAATGTGCGTCATGAGTGCCAAGTTCTTGACGAGACCACAGGCCTCACCTTCTGGAGTATCGGCTGGACAGAGCATACCAAACTGCGAAGGCTGCAATGCACGAGGACCAGAGACCTTTCTCGTCTTTTCGAACTGACTGCTAATACGCGTCATCATACCCAGAGCCGCAATATAACTCAGTCGACTGAGCACGTGGGTCACACCAGCACGTTCCATGCGGAAACGTTTCAAGCTCCAGTTACCCGTCGAGATAGCACGGTTCATACCCTGGGTGATGTGGTTGCTATGCATAGTGATGACACTGTAAGCATCGAAGGCTTCCGCACGGTTGCGCTTGTTCAAAACCTTGTCAATGTTCATCTTGATGTCGAAGCAGAACTTCTTGAACAAATCTTCAAAGAGCAAAGCCAGCAGCTGACCAGCCAATTCCAGACGCTTGTTTCCGAGATAATCACGGTCATCAACCAGGCTGGCATCGTTCTTGGCCATAAGCACACGACGCGCCATGTGCGCAACATAGACAGCCTTGGGCCGGAAGTTCATGTTCTTCACTTCAATGTGGGAGATGATGACAGAGGCAATGGCCTCGACGGCTTCCTGAACGTGGGTACGGCGATAAGAAGGCGACTGCTTGCGGTTGATCTTAATCCGTGCACCAATCCAATCCAGAGCCTGTTGTTGCGTGTAGATACCCAACTTGATCGCCTCCTCGAAGTTGATGGCAAAGTCTTCCTGATAAACCTTGTCGACACCCGCGACCAGCAGAAGCATCTCCTTATCCGTGTGGATGCCCATCGCCTTCAAAAGGATGACGATGGGAATATCCTCGCTGAGCACGTTGTGCTTCACGTAGAGCTTGTCCTTCTTGAGGACAATGTAACTCTTCGACTTTCGCTCGTTGGAAGAACTGCAAACAAATATTAGAATGACAACCCTCAACAGTCAATCGCGAAGACCTCTCACCTTGTAACCGACGCCTGAACAATCTCCTTCTTGGGGTCGGTTTCAACGATAATTCTGTTCTTGCTCAACTGTTCCTGGACAAGAATAACCTTCTCGGTTCCGTTCACGATGAAATAACCACCAGGATCCAAGGGACACTCGTTCAGCACCGTCATCTCCGCCGGTGTCTTATTCGCCAATACACACTTGGAACTCCGAAGCATAACCGGCATTCTACCAATGGCAACACCCTTCCTCATGACCCTTTGACGACCACGGACGTACTCAAAATCGACCTGAATGGGAGCCGCGTACGTCGTATCACGTAGGCGACATTCTTGCGGGGACACGGTCGAGTAGGTGAAGTCGGCCCGCGCATCCTGCGGCTCGTCGGCACGGCGCGGGAACCCAAGGTAAATGTTGGTGAACTTGATGTAGAAGGTATGGTCGACATCGCTTCGAATTGTAGAGCTAGACTCGACAATTTTCTTCAGCTGGACCTCAACGAGATAGTTGTATGAGTCAATGTGCTGCTTCACCAATCCCTTAACCTTGAGGAAAGCCGGCAGAAGGTTCCATTTGTCTTTCGCAGTATTGATCGGATCCGTGAGGGACTTGTTGTAGTAGAAAGGTTCCAGAAGCGCGTCAAATGGGTCGCGGTGGCGGTATGTAGAATGCGAATGCTCGTGCTCTTCGGTCGACTTCTGCTGCTGTTCCTCCGCACTGGGTGGTGGCGGCTGTTCGGCTCGGGGAGGTTGTGCGGTCTGAGAGGGACGTCTGCGTTTCGTAGTATCCGCGGCGCCTGGCTTTGCAGATGCTGCACCCTATATCATCAAGAGCCGTTAGCCTGGGTCCCTTCTCTACCGGAAATCGTAAAACACTTGATACTTGCCTCTGAAGGTTGCGCAGATCGCAGGTTCGCCGCAGAGATCGGCGCTCTTCTGCGGGGCGGCATCGCTATTCAAGCTGTGATGATCTCCCCCAAGAGGAACTGAATACTGCCGTGTGCCAAGTGTCAAGGTGTAGGGGGATATCACGGCATTCTGGGGTGACGGACACAATTTCTTCTTTATCAGCGAGGGGAAATATCCGGGCTAAATTCCAATTCGGCAGAATAATTGCTTAGGTAATGAGCAGCTATCCTAACACGGTTAGACTACTGTTTAGCTTACAAATTCACAGGCTAACTGGATTTAGCAGGTATGCATTTCTTATCTTATCGGCTATGGCAGGCTGCACGGTTTCATTCCTGGCATGTGCAGCTAACTAGTGCATGTGCATGACATGTGAACATATACAACTTCTTCCCCATTCTGGTCACTTATCCCTAGGCCGTCTAGGTAATAGGTCGCAATGCCTTTAGTAGTGTTCTTGATAGAGATTTGGACTTGAAGGCCTCCTCGATTTCGTCCAAGGATCGTCCTTTTGTTTCGGGCATGAACAGGGCGCAAATGAACGCCGTGATCAGGGTGCATCCACCAAAGAGAAAGTATGCACCGAAGCTGCTTTTTGACAGTAATATGGGTGTCGTGAGTGCGACCAGAAAGTTAGCAGTCCAATTGCTGCCATGTGCCAAGCTAGTGGCCGATGCGCGGGTCCTTTGTGGCTGTATCTCTGCTGCGTAGATCTTGATGCCGACTGCCCAGCTGAGAGAGTATATAACTGCAAAAATATAGATGCAGACAATGACCACCCACCGACCTGCACCAGTTGAGTCGTGTACGGCATTCCCTGCGTAGAGACCCCCTATCAAGAACATTGTGATGGCGAGGCCGATGCCACCATAGATAGTGCTGTGTCGTCGGCCCCACCTGTCCGCCCATATGAGCGCCGGAATGGTTACGGCGAAGATCACTATTGCAGAAACACCCGAGGCAAAGAAGCTGGCATCTGAAGAAGCTAGTCCTGCTTGCTCAAAGAGCAGTGGGGCATACTTAAAGCCAATGTCAGCAGGAGACGACAATAGGACTAAATGAAAACCCACATAGAGCACACCATCAATCCCACTGAGCTGCTGCATGCCCATTAGAAACACAGCCAGTGCGGTGCGTGTTCGTACATCTTTTGCAAACAGATCGAAAAACTTGTGCTTCATTGATCTGTCCTGGCGTTGGGATACTGATGAGGCATGTATGTCGCTCGAAGCACTCGCGACAGCCTCAGTATTAACGCTTTGAGTCTGTTCAATCTCAACCTTTTCACGTTCCGCCTGGCTGACACCAAGGTAATCCCAAACTGCAGTAGCCTCCGATCTCCGGCCATGGAGGGTCAACCATCTCGGTGATGGACTTAACCACAGGAGTGAAGCCATGGAGAATGTAGCAGCCAGACAAGCCAAGATGATGAAAGGCGTGCGCCATGAAAAGGAAGACTTCGTGCGAGAAGTACCGTAGCATGCAAAGAAACCGATCGTCAACCCCAGAGTAATTAGCAACTGGGGCCCGGTTGTCAACGCTCCTCTAACCCTTGGCGGAGAGATCTTGCAGATGTAGCTGTCGTCAATCAGAAACCAAGAAAACAAAAGTACCATAATTCATGGGGTAGTCACATACACGACGAGGGTGCCTAGATATAAGCCCTCACCTATGCCCTCGATGCAACGTCCCACAACAAACATCCCAATATGCACAGCAGCCGCTTCCAAAGCTGCCCCAATTGCAAAGATAAGAGCACCGATGCTGATACCCTTAGGCCTACCCATTTTGTCCGCCAGATACCCCGCGAAGAAGGAAGAAAATGCGGCTGGAATCAGGATGGATGAGACGATCAGGCCGTGAATGGTTGATGATTGGCTGCCAAATCGTGAAACAAAGCTGTCCATAACCGTGACGGGTCCAATGATGCCAGTATCCATCCTATAGAACTTCTGTCAACGTTGTACAAGGTAGCTCGCCGAGAGAGAATGAATCCTTACCCCAACAGCAGTCCCCCGCATGAGCACAGTATACTGGCCCGAACATACCTTGGAGGCTTGTGTAATCGTACCATTGCGGTATAGTGATAGGTCTCGCTTCTACGAGGTCAATTGGCAAATAAAAGACGATGCTGGCCAATAGTAACAGGTTCCAAGTCAACAGACAACGAGGAAAAGTAAAGTGAGAAGGGAGCATCGAGGTGGACATGAGGAAGGAGTTCGACTAGAAAGAACTACAATTAACCGATACAGACAGAGAGAGTCAGAGAGACCCTTTCCACAGGCCAGACCCACGCCGCCCCACCATCGACCCCAGTCTGGGCCCCGGATTTGGCCTTCCCATGTCCTGCTCGGCATTGTTGCTTGCAACGTTTGTTGTCATAATAGGAATTCGAGAGTTTGCTAGTAGACGATAGCCAAGCGCTCAGGTTATCAGGATGTTTTGACACGGGTACCTGTAGTACCTTACAAGGCTGTTCTGGAGCTCCAACGACCAAATGTCACTTTCCGTCTTCGTTGTACCCCGCACAAGCGACTACCCGGGATTGTGTTCCGTAGAAATTCACAATCATTGAAGATGCCATTCTAGCTGCATAAGTCCCTCGCATCGGCCAGGAGCGATTAATGTTGAGAATAGGTGTAGAGTAGTAACCAAGTTCTCAATAATAGAAGATTGTGGAGGGAATTTGGAAGCGAACTGGAACAAGCGTAAGTGCAAGCGCCGCCCCGGGGCGACTGCCGGAGGAAGTGGTAAAGAACTGATACATCATATGGCCTTTGCACTATAGTCTTCCTGGCCCAGCATTTTCTACATATTACTGTAGTTACTATGTCATGACTAAAGTACTAGTAGCTAAAGGACAGAGTATTCATGTATCACGGCAACTCGGACTTGATGTCGCGGACTCTATAATTGATACGAGTATGTTTCGGGCCATGCCAAAGCTTGTTAATCAAGTTGTTTCATGTCTGGTAGTAGTAATAGTACATAGATACTACTAATGGTAGAAACTCAAGCCCACCATCAGAAGAGCCAGACAGCTTTGCTGATGCAGAGACATACTACTACTGGCAATCCCAGATGTATATGCAGCGGTCAGCATCTAGGATGTGTTGGAAGGATTGAGCTACCGCATCTGTAAGTGAAATCGTTCTCTGATCTTGATGGTAGGTTCTGGGAGACTTTCTTCCAGGGCAGTCTGGAGACTATCGGTGGTCGAAACAATGACATCAGGCTTTCACGAAATTCAGGACTCGAGTGAATAGGTGAAACCTATTTTTTGATCACGAGAGGCATTTCTCAGAAGGGTAGCCTTTTCTTTCTGCAGATAGCTCGTGAAATCCAGAGGCTCGAGCACCGTGACCGCAGATTTTGTAGATTGGGCTGACTCCCAGTCGAAGCGGCTGTCACTTGCGGGGTTTGAGGCGAATGCCTCAGGTAATTTCAATTCTGCCTTGCAATATGCTGCCCTTTCAAATTATCATCAAGCCTGCATGATGTATCATGTCGCGGCTCTTGGATGATGTGTAGCCAGTCAGCAAACTGAAGGATTTGTTCATTGCCCTTGCTTTTCCGTTCGCAACCGGAGTCACTCACATAGAACGCATCCGCACCAGTATGATACTGTCTAGTCGAGCTACCAATTGAGTCAAAATTCCATACCGGATTGGCTGCCTTGGGAACCAAGATACTTTACTATCATCCTGCATGGTGCCCATTCACATGGTTACCCGGTCTCAAGAATGAGGATCTCATGGCACGCGGAAGGAGAATATGTAGCAAGTCTGATTATCTTCCTCGATTTACATTATTCGATCACACTTTTAATTGAGTGACTTCTTCTGATGGGCACGGTAGGTTCTCAGGCCCTCTGCAGAGTAAGCTATCGATTTGGGCGGGCATTCTTCGAGGAGACCATTGAGAATGGTCTCTTCTTCTGCTTCTCCGCAACCGCAATATAGTATAACATGTTGGTATGCCCGAGGGCATCATGTGGCTCATCATTGGAGCTCCATTCTGCCCGATGCCTTATTGTAGGCGATGGATATGTCTGAGTTTAAAGTATGATTAGATCGATGCATGCCCGTCTGCCACATTAGAACCCAAATAATTAATGGAAAGATAAGCATGCATCTGAGAAACCATTGTTCACCGGAAGTCGCAGCAGCTACCGCATGTTATCTGGTGTGTTCTTGAGCAATTGCCACAACAGTTTCGTTATGCGGACGCGGAGGAAGTTTGAAAATAGACTGTACAATGATCCCCGCATTTCCTCAGTAAAAATTAACTACTGCTTTTGGCTGTATCATTTTGAATCTGACGGCAATGTCAAAACGTGTGTGCTGGTCAGGCTGGTTGATGGTATTGTCAAGTTATGGTATAGATGGCTGCTTCATTGACCATCACCCACCCATCATATGATAAGAGAGACATTGAGGTGGGACTTTCAAGATACCTCAGACTATTCAGGTTACAGTTAAGATGGGTAGATGCAAAATACGTGGGAAGAGCGCGTTTGCCGTCAAGTCGGGCAGTTTAACTAAAGCACCTTGTTAGCAGTCACCGTTCTAGCTCCGGCAATGTAAAGCCGCATAACCCGTGATTTACAACCCAGTTGATATATATTATCCGCTGAGCTCGTGCAATCACCTTGATGTATACAATTGAGGCAACTCACGTACGAAGTAGGTTACCGCATATCCGAGCGTCGTTGATGCCTGAAAAGTGGATAGCTTGCCAGATACACCTGCAGAATCAGGTGATATATGCGTGAATGCCAAATCCATATTTGACGATTGGTGTCTCCTACCTCCTGATACAGTCGAGAAAAAGGCTGACAAGGCCTGGTTAGCTTATCAGGTATGTCCTAGAGTAGTATCTGTATCAACCGCCTTTAGCAAGGATACTGTCTCCACAGATAGTCGAGGATGTCTGTACATGGAAAAGCCTCGCAGGTCAACACGTCTGTGCTCTTGTACAACTCAAGTCAGTGTCTGCAGGGAATCGCCATGCCCCAACTGTGGAAGCACGTCAGGTGAATACGTGACCTCCATGGACTGGTCTTGATACAACACCAACCAAAAAAGCCGCGGGAAATCCGAAATTCCCGCAAGGGATACCATTCATGTGGTGCATTAGCATAATCCCATTCGATTCTAGCTTCTTCTGTCGTATGGTAACAGACTACCAGCTATGCCAGATGCCTGCAGTAGCTAAAGACCTCATGTCGAGTTGGCTGACAGTCAGGTGCCAGCAGATGACGCCCCAATCAGCGGCCATACAGTCAGAAAACTGCATCCGCAATTGCCATTAGAGGTGCTGCTATAATGTGAAGGCCATATCGGATACTTCACGAAGACCATAGAGATAGAATTGCTGAGCACTTGAGGGCCAAAAATTTGGCTATACTCATTGGAAGCCACTGTTCTCTTTTAGAAAGCAGGGCTGCACATCCGGCTGCAAAGTCGGCTAACCTCCGTAGTTTGCGGGGTTGGGCAACAACACGTCCAGTCTTCAGGAAATAAGTGCCTTCACCCATTCCGGAGCTGGAGGTATCCGGTACCCAGTCTGTTGGAGTAGGTGTATGGAGTGTAGCTGTTACTGGTTTCTTGGATGCAGACTGCATATTTCAGGCAAATGGTATGGCTCATAATATTGAGGAGTGGGTAGAAGTCGGCGACAGATCAATTCAGTCCTCTGCGGAGCATGTGGGGAGATGACTCTTGAGAAGGCACTACTGTGTACAAAGTATGTTTGAGGCGGTGGACTTTCTCTTGACCGCAATTTTAGAAGACATTGCCACTTGGCAGTCGAAGTTCCCCATCGGAAAGATTTCCATTCGACGATTTCCAGGCACAAAGATTAGTGGGCAACAACATAGCCAAAACAGAAATGCGGAGCGGCGAAACGCCTCCCAATTGATGGATCCACCATCAGAAGTAAAAGTACCATGTCGAACCATTCAGTGAGCAACATCACGTGAGTACGAAGGTCTTATCAATTCATGGTGTATACATGCCCAATGACGTTCAAGGGTAAGTGGTGTCAAGTACTAAAGATATGGGCAGTCACGCGCAAGCCAGTTCCAGAAGACATGGGCCATGAGTGCAGTAGCTCCCAGCAAGAAGCGCAGGCTCGTTGTTTCATGACCCTCGGACCTATTCCTGCAGCCATCGGACATGGGGGCCATTAGCACTGCTTGGTGGTAAGTATTATCCTGTAGGTACAGTACTTTGTGCAGTGTATCGGATGGAATAATTATGAGGCGATTCTATCTGGCCCGGGGGGGGTAAAATTACGTTATTTCACAGTCAGTAAACGGAAATGGATGGATTGATTATCTATTACTTCCTTGAGGATATCGTGGTGGCATGCAGAGTAGCAGTTGTTATCTCTTGATCACCAGGTTAACTGCAGACTTGAATTACTGGCAAGGAAAGGATATGCTAAATCAAAGGAATTGTATACAAAGTTCCCTGCTTTTCTAAATCTTCCCACTTAATCTGTCAACCTTTGCCAGATAACTTACCGTACGCGAACATCCCTGCGCCGGCGGTGGCGAACCAATCTGAAACACATCACGCTTAACATGACCGTCAGACCAACTACTCAGTAGCGCGGATACTTAGTTCGTCAGTTCAAGGCTAGAGAAGTACTAAACGTTATTACCATTCAAAGTTCCATCAAGGTGTGCCTTGCTTTCTCTCATGCCCTCGAACAGACAGATTCATCGACACTGGAACTGTCATTACTCAGAAGGAGGGGTACATTCAGTGTGCTCAAAGTGGTTGGTAAGTGGTTCAACAGTGGCTAGCATGGAATCGGACTCCGTCCCTGGATCTTGTGGGTACTAATGGGCTCATCTCCCATCTGCCGACCTCAGATAGGTCCGTCGTTCTTAGCTTCCGAAGTTGTCTGAAAGATGACTCATGCGATGTACCCAACAAGCGACTAGTTAGGTCGATACCTAAACAATTTAGGATCGTCATCACCAGCAAGGACTGTTATCATCCTATTCCATTCGAACGAATCTCGGCAGAGCAAAGTCATGCCGAGTATTCACTTCGCAAATTT